TTGATACAATGTCGACCGAAGACAATCTTCTGTTCCAACACGACTACGGAGTAACAGAGCGGTCATTGCTTTCAACATGTCTTGTCAATCTTGCATTTCTTCACCAAGCAGACTAGGTCTTGCATTGATGCTAGTCACTATATGCGCACTGTATAGGGGCATTTATGGAAACTATGGACACGGCCGAAATTCCTGTCTCCACGAGTATGCATACCGTGTTGAAGAAAGTAATCCACTATTATGGGTCAGTCCAAGATTCTTCACAGCTTGACACCGCCGGAAACTCTTGAAGAACTTCCCGATGCTCGGAAGGGATCTCCCGAACTTGGTATCGATCTACGTTAAGATGGGGGCCATACGTTTCGGGACAGTGGCATGAGTGCGACGATGCATGGATGGTGTACATTTGTTGTCGTTGGAAACCACCGATCTCGCGAAGCATCGACTGCAACGCTGGACAGAACGCCAGGGAATACTATCCATGTTGAGTGCGCGTCGATAGCTTCGAACGGTAGCAGAGATCACTGATCACATGCCACCTATGAAATGCTTGGAGGCCGGGGAGGCACGTCTAGAGTTCACATGCCAAGAAATCCTCAGGAGAGAGGACGCCAAAGAGACCGAAGGATACCTATTCGCAACTGGCGATGAATAGAAATCAAGGTCAGTATAGTATCCGTATTGTCCAGTTGAATCAATTCAGAAATAGAATCAAATGCCTATCTCGGAACCAACTCCGTCTCCGTTCTGTTCCTGCATCTCATCAATGTCAGGGCAAAGCAACTGACAAGCACAGCATCGTTCCCGATTAGTGGATAGGAACCACGAGCATTTTGCCGACGGGTTACATTCGAAATTGGACTGTCTGAGCTCCGCAAGGGGGTTGAATTCTCTTACCATGTTCATCCCAGCGCCCCTTTGTGGCAAGGAAGACCACAGTGCCACAACGGCAGAGAGCCCGGGGCTGGGGTCGGTGGATCCTATGCGAACTTTGGTTGCCAGAAGAAGTCGGGCCGCTATTAAGTAATTGACAGATCCGTGCTTGCTTTTTCTAAGTTCTTTGCATTCCCTTATAAGATTTCTGGGTCGTTCAGGTCTTTGCTCTTTCTTTAGCTGTTCGATTTGTGGCACTTTTCCTTCTCCTTCGAAACGAACCCGTGGAGCACGAAGGCCGGTTCTTCAGCGATCACGAATCCGTAAATCCGACAAGATGGGCGCGGCTACGTCGAAGGATATGGCCGCAGCGGTCCTGGTGCCGCTGCCATTCAATATTATCACCATGATCTTGCGGTTCTGGATCCGGGCGCAGAGGAAAGCGTGGGGACCGGATGATTGGGCCATGGTGGCTACCATTGTACGTTTTGATGATGCGCGTAATACGGAATGGATTAAGTTTTTTTTGACTAACATATCAAAGCCGGTCTGGGCAGTGTCGCAAATTGGTTTAATAGGTATGGCCTGGAGCGGAGTTGGGCAATTGGACAGCACCCTTTCTGCGGAACAGGTTGCCAACTCATACTTCGTAAGTTCTGCCCTATTCGAACAACGATACCATCCAATGTATATAGTGACCTAATGGAATCATTAGTGGTTTTATGTGTTCCAGGAGTTCTGGTGTTTTACCTTGGTTACTCTCAAGTGGTCCCTTGGTTTCACCCTGCTGCGTATCGGTAATGGCCAGCGTTGGGTCCAAATCGTCATTTACACCTGCCTCGCACTAGTCACAGTCTGTACCGGAGGTACTGGCATGTATTTGTTCTTTCAATGCTCGCCGGTTGAGTACGTTACCGATTGCTTCGGGTGTTGTTCATCAGGTGCTGACGATTCCTACCAGGAAAAATTGGCATCAAACTATGCCAGGTGAATGCAAGCCTCGAGAAATCCAGACTGCCCTGTCCTTCTTAGTTGCCGCAGTGTCGATCTCAACTGATTGGATATTCGCCATCATGCCTTTCGCTCTGATTTGGAGGCTACAGATGGCGAACAAGGTCAAGGCGTCTGTTATCGGTCTCCTGGGCTTGGGTTTCTTGTAAGTTACTGTTTTGCCCTTGGTCGTCTTTCCCGCCTTGCTAAGAATTTCTAGTGCATCGGTAGCTCCAATTGTCCGACTCAATTACCTCCTCGGACTCAACGATGCCGAAAAGTTTCTCCAAGGCCTCAGTATTATCCTCGCCTGGGCACAAGCAGAAGTTGGCATCGGAATGCTCGTCGCCAACCTCCCCGCATGTCGACCTCTCCTTGAACGCGCCCTCGCCCGCCTCACGTCCTTCACTGGCTCAAAAAACAAGTCCTCGAAAGACCCAGCCGCCTCAGCCGCTGTTAAAAACAGCTATCTCGAGCTCGGAGAGAGGGACCCTACGAGAAAAAACATCAGCCAAGCTAGTCGATCTGGGGTCGAGACAAGGGTTTACGGCAGAGATCTGGGCGATATCAGCAACGAAAGTTTGCCAGACGATCACAGCCAGAAGAGAATCGTAACGAAGAGTGGGTTCGGTGCGATCAGAGTGCAGAAAGAGTTTGGGATGGAGGTTGAGACGAAGCGCGGGGACAATGTGGTCTAGACTATGTGATCGGCGCAGTAATTGTTGATGAATGAACGAGAGGCAACGAGAGGCAACACAGTATCCGTACCTACATTCAGTAATCCACTGTTAATCTAATGGATTCAAAACGTCCGTCGAAATCAAGCGTGCCGCAAGCGAGGTTAGGCAGCCTGTCGATTGGCTCAGGGCTGTATCCATCCCCTGGCGCGAATCTCTTGACGGGCAGTGACGTCGCTCAAGTTGTATTTTGTTCCAATAAGGACTGACCTCATAAAAGTTTGCACAACACTGCAGATTTCAAGAAGCCGAGAGGGGTTGTGTCGACAATATATGGCGATGTGATTGGCGCCTTCGTCTCTTGTAGACAAATTGCGGCACTGCACGGCTATTGTGCCTAGTGTGCGATGTGGTTTCTGGTGGAGATAGATGCATTGAGCGACCCCCCTTATTCTCACACGAAGTGGATCTCATGACCTCTAGCGCCGGACGCAATCCGCGGGCACCAAAAGCGGCCCGTTAGCCTCATCGCTATACGGATACCTAAGATCTCTTGCAATTTTCGCGAAAATATCAGCGTGTGAAGATTGCCCGTTGCTGGCCATCGGTTGTTAACAAGTAGCAGTGTCAGGTGTGAGGCAATGCAAAAGGCTCGAGGATGGGCACGCATGATTATCAGACCGGACTTTACCAGGTGTCGCCAACACGCATATAAAAGATGGCATATCGTAGAAAGCTGTCTCTAACCATCTGTCGCAAACTCGCTGTGACTCCCCTTTTGTGCCCTTTGGGTATGTTTTTCAGCTGTTTGTACGTTGCCCCGTATTAGGATGACATTGGGCATAGACTTTCAGTACCTTCGGCTCTATCATAATAAGAACGGCAGGAGGAAACACGGCATGCGCGGGGCTAGGCAGCTAGTAACTAGTCCTCAACTTAAACTGGTTTGAACCAACCCATCAAGAGCGAGGCAAAATATAAGTGAGATCTTGCTCCAATCGAGCGAGACCTGATTCTTGACAGGTATGGCTTCATTGAACATTCGGGTGATTTGAGGTTGCTTAATGAAGCATAGGCTTGCTCGGCGGCACTCCACCCCGCTCCGTCTCGGCCCCGCTGGTCGCGCTTCGGCCTGAGCTACTACTTCGGCCCCATGGGAGACGGGGCGGAACCGGCACTTATACTTGGTCCGGAGCCGCTGTGTAATACCCGATACTCTCTTGCATATGATACATGGAATACCTATCGCAGTCTGTGGATAAACTTCCTTATTCTTCGCAACTCGGTGGTATATCTCGGCGGTTTCGTAAGCATCGTTGAACGTGAGACGGACCTTTCGTAAGTTCGTGTAGATCTCGGCGGCCGATCGCGCCGAGCTTCGTGGAAGCTGTAATTTATGCACTACAGACATGAACTAGGTGACGTGCAATGCAAGAGCAAAAGTTCCCAAACAACATTAGTCGCCGAAGTAGGTCTGCTCGGTTTCCGAGCTTACACCACCGTGTTTGGCATAGGTGCCTTAGCTTGAGCACTTCACTTACAACACGCATGGAAGTAAGCGGAACATGCCCAAGGTTGCAAATATATAAGTCTTAGCAACGGTGAAAATGAATTGCCATTCTAAAAACTCTCACAATTGCACATCAACACGTTCCTGAAGTACACTTGAAGATAACACTCGAAACGCCGCCAAGATGACCACCGGGGAGCAAAACACCGTCGCGGCTGCTGATGCCATCGAAAGCGTCGCTCGAGCGAATCTCCTCCCACCGAACAAGAAATTGGACGACGCGATCGCGAACTCTCAGAAACACGACTTGCCAGAGATCACTGTATCCCCGCTTCAAGGCCAGTTCCTCGCTATCCAGTGCAAGCTCATTGGGGCTAAAGAAGTTCTCGAGATTGGTACTCTGGGCGGATACTCGACCATCTGGCTTGCTGAAACGGGTGCAAAAGTCACTAGCATCGAGATAAACCCAAGGCACCGCGATGTAGCCCTTCAGAATGTCTCGGGGCTCGACACCGAGATCATACTCGGCTCTGCCCTGGACGTCTTACCCAAGCTGGCCGCAGAAGGCCGCAAGTTTGACTTGGTGTTTTGCGACGCATCGTGGGGCGAGCAGGAGAAGTACTTTGACTGGGCGGTGAAATTGACCAGAGCGAAGGGATGCATCTACGTCGATAACGTTGTGTGGAACATCCTCAATCAAGAAAAGGCGAAGGAAGGGAGGGAGTCGTTGTTGACTCACGTAGGGAAGGACAAAAGAGTCACGGCGACACTCGTTCCCATGATATCAACCGCGCACACTGTCCACGAGGGCCGCACCATTCTGGACGGCTTCTTGTTGGCAGTCGTCAGTTAGGAACCTTCCATACAGCCTAGGGATGATCAGAATGCAACGAGTCAGCAGATGGCTTCGTATGAGACTGGTGGAGTGTTGCTGTTGCGTACATTGAGTGATATTTATTAGTCCTGATTAAGGTAGAAAACCAACCCCTTCACGAACGATCTACTTTCGAGTTTGAAGGGTTGATAAAAAATTCATACTGTGGTCTGTTTCTAGACTCCCTATGGTATTATACGCTCTCCGCGTAGCCTGCCTCCTTGACAGGCACTTCTTTGGCTTGCTTCTTTTCAAAAAGCTTTTGACCAATTTTGTCGGTCATTGCATCCGTCTTGTCTCCCAAAAATGTCTTGATGCAACCGTAAACACCAGAAATGAACCAAAAAATTGCATTCACCAAGTCGATCCAGACTGCCACCTTCATCACACTTGTCCTGCTGCCTTTGTACGAGTTGTCGCTCTCCCTGTGGAGGAAAATTGCTGCAAAAATTCCGAATGCCACGATCCAAGAAACGAAAAGGACAAAATCCCAAGCAAAGGCTCGGTAGGTCTTGAAAATCTTGATTCTGCTGCCGACGTAGGGAATGGCGCCGAGCGGGGTGGCGGCGACGAAAAGAACAGCCGTGATAGCTGAAGCTCCTGCCACGGCAATGGCAAAGATCCACTCCGGCGAGAATCCATCGTTTGCCTTGCGGTCATCGTCGACACGGTTGCCGTAAAAGCCGCAGGCGATGAGAGCGAAGAGAAATTGGAGACCACGGCAGACTAGGCGAGGAACGACTTCGAATGTCTTGAGCCATGTTTTCCCCATCGTCTTGCCTGTTGCAGCTCCCTCGTTGAAGACACCGCGCCCGGCTTGGCGACCCATTTCTGCCTTATCCGCGGAACGAAACTCGGAGGCAGCGCCGGCGAAGCCCTGCACGTTGCGGCCGAGCTCAACGGCACTTTGGCCTGCCTTGAGAGCGTTTCCGAATTTGCCCATTGTCGGTTGTTACGAGGTGAAAGAATGTGTATCTCGAAAAGGGTTACGAAAGTGTGAGATTGCAAAAATCTCTTGAAAACAGAAAGGTTGGTGAAAGTAATTGGAAGATGGGCAAGAGAGGCTTATCAAACGATGCTGCGACGAGAAGATAATGCAAAAATGCGAGACTGGCCGGCAGTGCAAAGTAGAAAACTCCGAGGAAACACAGGCGCCAAGTGATGGAAAGAGGAATGGAAATTCGTAGCGAGCGTGATTCAGAACAGCGTTGAGATCATCGGGATAGCCAACTTTATAATAAGACGAAATGAACAAAGACCATCACTCTTGAACGGAAACAACACCCAATGAGTCCAACCTCACGATGTTGTTCAACGCAAATAGTAACAGCAATCCTTTGAGCGTTGGCGCTATTACTGTTGCAGCGGTGAACAGTCACAGCCAATCATTCATTCTCCAAACCCTGGCGCATCTGGCAGGCCGTTGAACACTGGGGACCATGGGGCTTGGCTGTTTGAGTCGTAGCGAGTCAACCCCAACCGCCTTTGCTTTGTTACCCCAGACAGGGCGCTTAGCGAAACGCATCGCTTTGTAGGCGCCAACAGAGCTATTCTTTGACTGAACGAACAGATGGACCAGTAACCGTAAAACATTTCCTCGGCCTTTGTAGATTGCGGCTCGCCTCAATAGTATGAGAAGACCAAGGATCTGTTATCCGCGACATGAATGCGCAAGTCCTCGAGTCACTGCATTGTCGGGGCAGTTCCAGCAAGCTGTGGTCTGCGACGCAGGCCAAGACATGAGAGAATGCCACACGTTGGTTGGGACAGGAGTGCTCCCAAATAGGCGTCAATGCTCAGGCCAGCCAGGCCAAACGTAACGATGATGGCGCGGCTCGCGCGGTGAGATGACCCTCAACACACATCCTGATGGAAGACGAAGGTCTACCATGCTCTGATAGCCTCCACCAAGATATCAGGCTCTCAGTTTTAGGATAGCTGATTTAACGGCAATATTCGGCAAGGGCCGAGGCTGTCAGAAAGACAGGTGGGTGGATGGCATAAAGGACCGTCCGATCCCAGTATGTAACTGAACAGTGACTTGACCGCCTATCGTTACGCCATTTCAGCATGCAGCCTCCATTGATAAGGCACTTTACATGGCTTACCTTCTCATCGAGCCGCCCTAAGGTCTCCGGTTGTTTCTGGACTTTAGCAATTGGGCAAACACCGTGATTGAGACACGACAGCTCTTAGCGTGCCGATTTGAGCCTAGAGCATAATTTCTCCTAGCTCCCAATTGCTCTATTAGCCGTCCGAAGGACTGAAGAATCTGCGCTGGTGTGTTGCTCATTCTGGCATCGGCCTCGGCTCTTGTGAAACGCAGATCCGAGCGACCGTGAACCTTCAACGACTGAGCATAACCGACCATGCCGATGCTGATATTTTCTTCGCGTTAAATATGAATAGCCTAAAGCTTTCGAATAGACTTGGTGAGCCGAACTTACTTGTTCCTGTGATCTAGGAGTCCATTAGATTTCACTATTCGACATACTAAGCCACCAATCTACACATTCTTAACTGCCCGCAAGTCAGACTTCATCGGTTTGTGACAGCATGTCTACCAACGCGACGAGCCTCTCAGCAGAAGAGATTATTCGCCATCCTGCATTCAATACGACGCAATGGGATCTTGAGCCAAGGCTATCGGGCTTCGCTACGGTCGCCGAGTCTCGTCCAGGGGGCCCATTCCCTATGTGGTACGAAGTTCACGGTCGCGGACCGAAGAAGATTGTCTGGATCATGGGCCTCGGTGGTAGCCGGAACCTGTGGAAGCGCCAGAATCGACACTTCGGGCACCAGCGTGGCGAGGAGTACAGCTCTCTCGTCTTCGATAATCGTGGGGTCAGCAAGTCGGCCAAGCCGAATTGCAGATATAACACGTTGGACATGGCAAAGGATCTGGTCGAATTGCTGAGGCATATTGGCTGGCTCGACACCGATTCTCAGTACTATCCTCGAGACCTCAATATTGCCGGCATCAGCTTAGGCGGCATGATTGCGCAAGAGCTTGCCCTTCTGATACCTCAACGATTGCAATCGCTGATCCTCATCTCTACGGCTCCTCGCCTAATTCGAACCGTCCATACGTTCGAGCATATGAAACAGCGAGTAGCGATGTTTCTCCCTACAGCAGTTGATATAGAGCTCAAGAACAAGGCCAGTAGGCTGTTCACCAGAAGTTATCTCAATGCGCCGGACACTGGATCCTTGGACCCAGAGAAAACGTTTCCCACCAATCTCGATCGCTTCGTGGCAGAGGAGCTCGCAGAACGTACCGAAGACACTGACTTTTCTCGGAGGAAAGGCGTCATGTTGCAGGCTATTGCCGCTGGATGGCATCACAAGAGCGATGCAGATCTCGCCAGAATGGGGGACGAAGTAGGCAGAAGCCGAATATTGGTGATGCACGGAACTTTTGATGAGACCATTACATTTCCGCACTTCGAGTTGATTAAGGCTGCCCTGGGAGATGGGCCGGAATATATTGCGTGGAAAGACTGTGGCCATGTACCATTGTGGGAGAGAGAGGAGGAATTCAATGAGACTGTGAGACTCTTCATTGACAAGACAATCACAGTCTCGGCCAGTCTCTAGTTTTGCAAGCCCAAGTCTATCGTATCTCAGTGCAATCCCACATGGTCGTCCAAGTTTATCCGTCCCATTGGAGCATGAGTCGCAAGGCATATACGACAGAACTTATCCAATTCGTCTGCGGGCCGATCCATCGTGGGCCCTTTTTAGGCTCGGAAGGGCGGCAGGGGCCGCAACCCCGCGTTCGGGGTAGACTTGAACCGAGTCACCCGTCTCTACCTCGTGGAACTACCTAAGACGGATATATGTCTGCGCACTTATCCGTCGATTCCTTTCGATTATTCAAAGTGGTGCCTTGCCCGCCAATTTCAGACTGATTTCTGGCCGTGAATTGGCAGGATGTCATTGTAAGATGTTTATTCGACTCCTATTGCTGTCGCCAGCCCTGGCAGCTGCAGCTATTGACAGGTATGAGGAAAGAAAGTTGTTGATTTAGACGAAGACTTGTTCTGTTGATAATCACTGATGAATCTGCAGAAAAGCTATCGTAAGGTCTTTCAATGTGGTGAGAACAGAGGTGCCTGAGGTCATTGACAACACCACGACACCTCTGCAAGTTGGAAATGGGGACTTTGCCTTCAACTTTGATATCACAGGCACGCAATCGTTGATACCTTTCAACACACTTTCCAGCTGGGGATGGCATAAGGATGCTTTACCACAAAATGGGTAAGACTTTGGCGTTCCATTGAATCACCGTTTTCATACTCGCTTATCTTGAATGCTCATATCGTGCTGCATTCTGCTAGGGAGAAGCTGGACGACTACGCTGGCATCGCTGTAAATACGCATGGAAGAGAAGTGATCTACGACCTTGAGGATCCGAAGCTGCCGGAGATTTCCAAGTGGCTGAGCGCCAATCCCAACCGAATCAATCTTGGCCGCATCAGCTTGAGTTACAAGAATGAGACGCTGTCATTGATCACGGATCCCCAACAAGTCCTCGACCTTTGGAACGGTGTTACTACTTCGACGTTCAAGGTTGATGGCAAAGATGTGAAAGTCACTACTCAGGGAGATTTCGACACCGACTCTGTAACTTTTGACATAGTGTCAAGGTTGATCTCTGAAGGAACCCTTGGAGTTGAATTTGACTTTCCGTTTCCTCCAATCCACAAGGTTGAGAAGACATCAGACTTCGAGGTTTTCATGGGAAGCTACCAGTTCCCGGACAATCACACTACCTCCATCATTAAGCCTAACAACATCTCGGATGGCGCAGCTCATATCCAGCACACGATGCAAGAAACGTCATACTATCAGAACTTGCGCTGGCCCAAGGAATCACCATTGACTTTGACAAGAATTGGGAAACAGGATTCCAACGCGACCACTGCACATCGCTATAAGTTGTATCCAACTACGTCCGGAACGAACCTCACCAGAGCAAATAGATTATCATTCACTGCCCAGTACAGCCTCCAACTTCAAAAGCCACCACTGCCCTCGGTCATTCGCAGACGGAACAGTCTCGATTGGCAGAAGTACTGGGAAGAAGGTGGGTTTGTAGATCTCACCCAGTCGTCGAATCCAAATGCGACGGAGCTCCAGCGGCGCATTATACTCTCACAATACGCAATGAGAGTCAATAGCGCAGCAACTGGCCAGCCACCACAGGAGAGTGGTTTGGTATATAACGGGTGGTGGGGTAAGTTTCACATGGAGATGGTCGTTTGGCATTGCGCTCATTGGGCGACTTGGGGAAGACAGAAGTACTTTGATCGGGTATTCCCTGCTGTCTATGAGACTCTGCTACCTAGCGCTGAGGCAAGAGCCCGCCGCATGGGATGGGAGGGCGCCAGGTATGAGGTCTAGGTCTATCCAATGATGAAATTCGCGTTTGCTGAACAGAGTGATCAATTAGATGGCCTAAGATGACGGAGCTTGTCACCAAGGGCATCGCTCCTGGAGAGACTCGAGCCTACCTTCAATGGCAGCAACCACATCCCATCTATCTCGCTCAACTAGCCTATAAGGCCAACCAAAGCGACGAGACTCTTCAACGATGGGACAGTATCATCACGTCAACTGCCAAGTACATGGCATCGTTTGCTTGGTTCAACAATTCAAGCGGCAAGTACGATTTAGGACCACCTATTCAGGGTGTCACGGAGAACTCATCCCCTACGGAGATTTCCAATTTGGCTTACGAGCTTGCTTACTGGCAATGGGCTCTCAACGCGGCTTGCGACTGGAAGAAGAGACTTGGACAAGATTGTCCCGAAAATTGGTCCATGGTAACAAAGAATATGGCATCTCCTCCTCAGTATGATGGCCTATACGCTCCTTGGGTCGGGGGCGGGGTTAATGCATCTTGGTGGGATAACCCTCAGCTCAACAAAGATCCCAGAAGCGTCATTATGTTACAAGGCATGGTACCCGATACCCCACTGGTAAGATATGTGGAAATTGAGAGTAGACTCTTTGTTTGATTCATCAGCTGACGATGGATGTGCCAGGTGAGTCCAGAAGTCGGCGTAAGAACTGCAGACAAGGTATGGGATGTGTGGGGTGACGCTCAAATTCGAGGCTGGGGGCGAAACGTCCTAGCCATCAACTCGGCCCGTATCGGAAATCCAGAACGAGCTATCTATCACCTAACCAACTTCGGATACTGGATGTTTGGTGATCAAGGCTTTGCTCACAGATCTGGTCCAAGTGAGTCTTGCAGCTTGCGGAATGAGTGTAGTTTGTGTACCCCAGGGCTACAAGTGGCGTCAAGCCCCAGTACAATCAACTAATGAAGTTGCGATAGGTCCATCTCCACCGCCTTATTTCCCTGGAAATGGGGGGTTTCTCTTGGCGATCGGGTATATGGCAGCTGGTTGGGCAGGCTCCGAAGGGCACGCACCTGGATTCCCCAAAGACGGAACTTGGGTTGTCAAGCATGAGGGAATGATTCAGGCTCTATGAGCATGGCACAAAACTTAGAATGAAGACATCTGAAAGGGGCGTTCCTCTTATCTCTAGAAGGTCCTATAAGCTCTCTTTCTTGATCAACATTTTGACGTATCGATATGCATCCATGTGACTGATATCGTTGACCACCTCGATTGTCCTGTTTCACAGGACTGAACTCATTCAATTACCCAGATATACAGCTACACGCAAGCCTCCGTTATACGGAGCCGTAGTTGTCTTGAAACCATTCTTAGGATCGTCGAGATGCTCAATCAGATCTTTGTAGCCTGCTTGACCAGAAATTATGTTGTCAATGACGATCAAGGCGCCAGATTTCAGATGCGGCTTCACAAGAGCGAGTGTAGGCATCGCAAGCTGTGACCAAACTTCTCAGGACGTTAGCGCAACGAATCATACCACGCGTGTCATAGTCAAGCTTGTAGCTTTTAGGAAGAGTAGAGAACGTACTGTCAAGTAGCAAAAAGTCAATTTCCTCTGGCAAGTCAGTCTTTAGTGTCTCTCGCAGGTCACCTTCTCTTAATTCAATCCAGGATTCGACCTCAGATCCCGCCCTTCTCCAGTTCTCCCGGGCTTTCTTGGCTTTGGATGACTCGTTCTCCGTAGCGATCACTTTGCCCCCGACACCTTGTGCCATTGCATTTTGTCCCACAGCGAGGGCAAGCCAGATTGTGCTGATGCCAAAGGAGGTTCCGGCTTCGACGACGTGTCTCGCCCCAGTGGCACGTAGGAGAAGGTAGACCAGAGCGCATTTATCTGGCTCCAGGGCCACAAATCTTTCCAAGGCAACTGAAGCAGGTTGACTGTCAGTGCTGACGTAAGGAGGCTCAGTGAGAGCTTGAGTGTGAAGGTCTTTCAGAACAGCTAGTGTAGCAGAAGTTGCTTGCAGTGAGGACAAGTGCCTGTCTAGATCTTGAAGATGAGCCATGACGAAGAGTATGAGGTGATAATGATCTTTGGATACTTGAGTTTGGGGATGACGAGAGCGATGTTGCAGCTGAAAACTCATGCGAAGGCTTGGTTCTCTTACTAACAAAGACGTTAGGCGATCAAATGATGGCGGGGTCGCTAGAGCGGAAGCCCTTGCTAGAACCTACCGCTTGTGGAATCGGGTGCAAACGAATTCGCTGTGTCTCCGCTATCGGACCGGGAATGGACCTCGGCCGCGGACGTGTAAGTACCATGGTCAACGACATAAACACATGCCGATTGATTTTATCACCTTAGTCTACATACCTCATAGAATACGAATCTTAAAACCCAAAAAATGGATCAAAATTTCCTCAATGTGCGACAGTCAATATTTGAAATTTGCCAGCCATCTAGTTGCTCATTTGATATATTCATGGTGTGGTTGAAGGCGCTAGTCGAAACATCGCTGCCGATCGCAGTTTTGGTCTGTGTGAAGCTTAGTCAAATGCAAAGCACGCACGTGGCACGTTATTTTTCCGAGCTTGAACAGCCCGATTCCGACCCTCGGGAGTCGGGTATTAGGCAAGACAGTGGTCAAGACATCTGCCGCCTCGGGGGATGAAGGTATGGGTTCGTGGAGATCATCCAGGGCAACCACAAATGGACAGGAGAATTGGACAACTGGAGAGGAGACCAGCAGAGCTTGTTGACTTCTGAAATGTGATCTGTTCTCTTTCTTCAGGCACGAAAGCGCTATGAGTTAAAACGGCTGAAATCAGCCAATTTTCGGAAGCCATGGGCCAAGGCTGGTCTGGTGTGGGAAAAGGTGAGAGAGCCAGAGAGATGATTCACCCGGAATTGGCTGATAGAATTGAAACGGCATCGTAATGCATAGAGTGGGATTCCATTGTGAAGAGTATGTAAATTGCCCAGAAGCGGTGGCCTAAGACGAGGAATGGAATTGCAGGGATTGCCAAATGCACTTCAATGCATGTAATCCAGCGTGGCTTCAAGCCAATTGATTCAAATGGCCTGGCCCAATAACGTCACAAGACACCTATCGTGCTACTCCAAAATCAGCTACAGCCACGCAGACATTAAAGTTACTTCTACTGGACGTCTTGCACAAGGGATGACTTGGCCTATTTCCCACACTCCCCTGTTCCATCCCCCTTGAGACCTAGCTCTGAGCCACAACATGACGGTTGAAACACCTCAAAATGTCAACTGGACTTGATATATGGCAGCCTTATGCTGTGAAGTAGTGTAGCCGCTACGCAAGATGCTACCAATGATCAATCTCACGAGCATTGGAAGTTGAACTGGCACATTGCAGTCTTGTCTCACCTCGAAGGAATCTCAAGTCATCGCCAAGAGCGAGCAATGTGCCTAGGAGGTCTACAGGGCGAAATGAGCAAGGTTCAAGACATCGTCATTTTTCAGCAGCAAACGGCCCGATACCAAAGTGGCGGAGACATTGTATGGACGGGCAGCTGGGACAACGCAAATACTTGACAAGGCAAAACTCAGCGCCAGAAGGAGAAAAGAGGAAACTTCTTGGCATCTCTATGGGATATAAGATCCACGCTGATGCACTACGATTGAGGGGTCGAGTTCCAACGTAAGATGGGGTAGCCTCGCCCGCTCGTTTCTCAGTTTTTTCAACCTTTCATCGCCTTGCTGCATACCTAAGTAGCTTGATTGCCTATTTTCTAGGCTGATCACTTGGGACGAGCCGTTTTTATCGTCCGTCTAAGGTAGCTTGCGGTCCTCTTACTTTAATCTTATCAAGCTCCAAGGCTTTCCCATATTTGTCCCACGAGCCTCAGCCCTCGTATGCGCCACGTTTTGGCTAAGTTGGCTAACATGAAGAGGTAGCAAAATGTCAGGAACGACGCAATCCCAGCCCGCCATCAATGCGTTCTGCGGCGAACACCACGTCGTCGACTGGAAGGTCGAGCTACACAGCGCCAGTCTTCACAAGGAATGCTTTGTGGGAAAACTCTGCGTCCTGGCTGAGGAGCAATTCTGTCCGAAGGCTAAGTTGTTCGCATGCTATCAGAGAAGCGGACTATGGGATGCTTGCGATCCTAAACATCGAGCTTGTCACATAGGCGAGCCCTGCATGGTTACTGGTGAGAAATATTGCGCCAGGAACCTCTACGTGGCCAAGTATGAGCATGTCAATGGGACCTGTTCCTCCCGCTGGCCGGATCATTTGTTTTGTCCAACAATATCCGAGCTTGACCAACAATACTTGTTCCCGGGTTGTCCGGCGTGCGTTATTCTGAGTGAAGCCAGGGGCCTTGTGCTCATACACCGCCGGATGCTTGATGAGTGTGTGGAAGAAGAAGGGCTGTCTGGCGCGGACGTTGATTGCATCCGACTGAGCCTCTCTGGGTACATGCGGGCCTACAACGTCAGGAGGAGAATGCATATGGAGGAACTCCAAAAAGAAAGTCAGATGATACATGACTTAGAGATGAATTATGCCTCTGGTAGTGGGGAGATTACGGAGGCTCAGAAGCCCATTACGGGACGAAGGCGGTGGTGGAAATCACTTATTGAGAGTGCCATCAAGGCCGTCTTCAGCATTTGGTCTTGAACCGAGGTAGATTCCAACTGGCTCGAACTGGCTAGGTTGATTCATGGCTGGACACTATGTCTGGTCTATCTTATGTAGTCTGTCTCAAATTCTCAATTCCGAAAAGTTTTACATCATGATAGTTGCCTCCTTTGTAGTCTCATGCGTAGAAGATTTATGTCTTCCACAACATTCGGGAATTTCTTTTCTTAGTAAAGATAAAGAAGTTCGAGTCCCGGGTTTATCTGAACACAAACGGTTCTACACCTGGGGTTTGATGGGTTCAATTGAAAGCATTGGTGGCTGGGGAGACTTCAAGCACGATTAGCCATTTCAATTTGGGCGACATTGACATCATCTTTCAGGGTGTCAACAGTCTTGGAATGAATAATTCCTGGAACTTCGTAGCGCCGGAACTTTCTTGCTGGTAGTTGTTTGATGAACTAAAGGTGTCAGTGAGACGATTAAAATGTGCCAAACGCCCCGAACAAAGCCTTACCATGGTATTAATTTCTTCGAGAGTCCGTCCCTTAAACTCGGGGAGGAAGAAAAAGGCCCACAAGGCTGCAATGATGCAAGATGGGAACCAAATGTAGCCGTATCTCGGGCCCCAATTCAGGGCGCTCGGATTGATGAAGTACGGCGTAGTAAAAGTGACGAGCCAGGCCAGGAGATATCCACATGCCGAGGCAACCCCAAATGTGTAGCTGCGAAGTCGTTGTGATGGGGCTTCTCCGGCGACCATCCAGGAGTAGGGTGCTACCATTCCCTGTTGGATTGTCAGTCTTCCTAATCGAAGAGTCAAATGTCCACTCTCTAAACCTACGTTGAAAGCGACCATGAAAATGCAAGACATCGCGACGAGCACCTTTCCCGCATTAATTGTGTGTGGTTGCTTGTCGTAAGTTACAGCCATGATGAGTTGCAAACAGCCACAAACGACGAGACCGTTGATGAGCATGATCCGGCGGCGACCATAGCGAACTACGATGATAGCATTTGCAATAATGGCCAGGAGACCAGCCGTAGACAGGACATTTGTCATAGCGAAGGGGTGTTCGACTTGGGCGACGGAGAAGAAGTATGCTTTATACGCTGTTTGACTTGAGTGAGTTCATGCAGTTGGCGTGCAATCTTGAATCGATTCGGCACTCACCAATGATGAACATGGATCCCGATGCAGCCTGTAGACATACAGCACCGATAGAGACCATCGAGCGTCTTCGGTCCACTCGATCCTTGAACATGTCCAAAAATGCAACGGTCTTTGTCAACTCGAGATGTTCTTGGATTGAATTTTGAATCTCTGTGACTTCATCTTCAATGTTTGCGCCGTTGGGTCTCAGCCACTCAAGAGCTTTACGACCCGCAGCAACACGACCCTCTAGAATCAGCCAGCGTGGCGACTCGGGTATGAAGAAAAGACCGATGGCTAAGAGGACCGGTATCACGTAAATTGTCGCCAGAGGTATCAAGTAGGCTGATCTGTCAGGACGCTGGGCAGTTGCCCAGTCTATAATCGTGCCAAGCAGGGTGCCCTAAATTGAAGTTAGCCAGATTAAACGCAGGCCTTCAAAACAATGTCAAGTCCGGGAGTAGAACACCCACAATCGTTACACAGAACTGGAAAATAGTAAGGAATAGTCCGCGATATTTTGCTGGACTACTCTCCTGTAGGTAAAGCTGAGAGAAGGTCATGAAACCTCCGTTGCCTAGACCGATGAGCAAGCGACCAAAGTAGAGTAGACCAATGTGCGATGTGGTCATCATGAGGATGTTGGCTATAATGCAGAGTATAGAAGAGAGCCAAAGGCACATCTTCCGTCCTAATATGGTTGCGATCAAACCGGCAAGCACAGAGCTGAGGAATGCTCCAAGCGTCATTAACGAAGATATGAGCTGTTGTCGGGTGGTGGAGATATTCCAACCAATTGCTGTGCCTCGATCTTCGTATCCGTAAACCTTTAAGCAACAGGTTAGTGTCCATGACACTTGTTCAAAACAAAAAATCTAAGGAAGGCACCGAACGACAGGAATTGGGAGCGAAGCGGCAGACCTCGAGAAAGCCAGGCATTGCCTGCAGACCGCCAATAATTCCAAAGTCTAGTCCATACTGAAATGGAGACAATGCGATCATGCCGCATGCCACAAAGCACCAAGAGTGAGCACGAATACCATCAGCAGCCATGTTTGTTATGTTTCGCCTGGCCAAGCTCTGGAGGACCACCATTGAATTGAATGTTGCATCATTTATTACAAAGTCTGGAAGAGGGGCTACTCGTGGCTTCTATAGGCTTTGTAAAAAAGAGACTGGTCTATAACCTATGAGATCGGCAGTTCTGAAAGGGAACTTGGCTCGAGTGATTATGAGAAGATGACATGAGGTTGTACGCATGTGGGGAAGGCAAGCACTAGTTTAAATTCGGAGCTGTCAGATTCTTAGTGCAGTGAATGGGGAGCAATAGATGGTAGAAAGAGGTAAAGTCTCGTTGTATCAAGATGATTGGGCTCGTTCTCAAAAAGTCTGCGGTCTGCGTAATGTCACAATGATCGGCCGGGAGATCATAACCGTTGCCGTTGCACCAGGCGGATGTGGGGTAATTAATACCTCGAAAACGTGGGGTATCTAATACTTCAGTATGACAACCCCACGGCAGATGTGTCAGAATAAACTGTATCCTTCGGCAGATGTTTATGTCTGTGTTTTCCTTCTTCTGTCTATCTCTGCTCTCTCCCGAGTTAGCTATATTGTTGTCTTGAGAAGTTCTCTCGAACGAACACCATAGTACCGCCTATGCAGACTGGACTGGCAGCCACCATCATGGCCACGCTGGAAACGAAGACAGGAATTAAAATCGTTGTCGTGGGCGCTGGCTTTGGGGGGCTTACAACTGCAATTGAGTGCCATCGACAAGGCCATGACGTTGTGCTTTATGAATCATTCCCTGAGCTGAAGCAATTAGGCGACATAATATCGTTTGGTGCAAATGCTGGTCGGATCTTTCAGCGATGGCACAACGGCGCCGTTGTCTCCAGGTTGAAACCACTTTGTATCGATTTACAAGACTACGGCTTCCGGATTCACAAGTGGGACACTGGCGAAGTTGTCCTCACACAAAAACGACCACCTGCAGACCTCGAAGCACCTGTTCTCAATGGCCATAGAGGAGAGCTGCACGAGGTCATATACAATTATGCGAAGGACGAACTAGCGATTCCAATACATCTTGGCCAGCCGGTCACTGACTACTTTGAGGACGAAGATGGTGCTGGAATTCAGCTTCAGAACGGGAGCAAGGTTGGTGATCTCCCCGTTTCTTCAAGAATCAAAACCCAATACGGTAGCATCGTGACATCTTACTGATGCATGCAGTTTCAAAGGTTTTGGCTGATGTCGTCATTGCTGCCGATGGAGTCCGATCCAAAGCGAGAGAACTTGTTCTTGGCCACAAGGACAAGCCACAAAGCAGCGGATATGCGATATGGAGGGCGTGGTATGTCTTCGATACTGTCAGAGCTTGAAACCGCCTCTAATCGTAACTCGCCGTAGGTTTGCCGCCGATGCCTTGCTGGCAGACCCTCGGACCAGACAATTCTGTGAGAATGGCGATACCTTCAATGGTTGGATAGGCCCAGACGCCCATTTCCTATTCTCTACTCTGAAGGGAGGTCGAGACTGCTCTTGGGTACTGACCCATAAGGACGAGTACGACATCGACGAATCATGGTCCTTCCCTGGTAAGATCGAGGATGTTTGCCGCGCACTTGAAGGCTGGGACCCCATGTGCCGAGTAATCATCGAGAAGACCCCGTCACTAGTGGATTGGAAGCTCGTGTACCGCGATACACTTCCTAACTGGGTCAGCGGAGGCGGAAGAATCGCCTTACTAGGAGACGCCGTTCATCCGTTCTTGCCAACAAGTACTCAAGGAGCGACTCAAGCTATGGAAGACGGCGTTACCATAGCAGTCTGCCTGAAACGTGCGGGAAAGGAAAACGTTCGTACAGCGCTCAATGCTTATCAGGGCATCCGGTAAGGCAACACCCTTCGTCCTTCAAAAACGTTGTGCCCGGCATTCTAACGCTCGATAACAAAGGTACGACCGTGTGAGGGCTGTGCAGAAGACTGGAGTCTCCACTCGTGAGATGTGGCACAAGACAGACTGGGAGAAAGTGAAGAAGGATCCCACAACGATTGCTTTGCCAAGAGAAGACTGGATACTCGAATTTGACGCCGAAAAGCATGCGGAAGAGATGTATGAGAGCGTTGCCACTCCATCCCTTTAAGTAGAGCACAGTTCAGATACAGTCCAAAGATAGAGTGAGGATAGTAACGCGACCTAGGCCATGTCAAAACATGAATGCTTGATTGAGTGCTCATTTCGGTCATTGTGTCTAGGCATACCTATCTCCTGCTCACTGCTCATGAACCAAATTCACTCAGCTGTGGCTTGTGATTGTTGGATCAACTTCTCGTTTCATGAGGAAGCCCCTTCTTGTGATATCGTGTCTAGGCAGCCGACAGTCCACTTTCACGATTGAACGACGAAAGAGCTAATTGTTGTTTCGGGCCAACGCAAACGTGTGAAGTAAGGCAGTCGTACCAGAGCCCGCAGTCAGCAGGACACATGCTACTTAAGTCACCTAATGGGTGGATACAGTGGAACTCTGGTAAAGAGGTTGGCCAGTCGCTCAGCACGCCATAAAAGGTTAATAGCTATTTGTGCGGAGTAATTTCCATCCAAGATGATGAACATACTCCGTACATATTTCTTCAATGCAATCTGCCTTCGATACTGATCAAGGACGCGACCCATAGCAGTTGCAATTTGCAAGGACTGGAAAGCTTGAACGGAACGAGTTTGGCGAGGTGAAAAGTAGCAAGAAACGTAAGATCTCGGTTCCTTTGCTGTCTAGGGTTTGATGTGGGTTTACTCAGAGTGGATGAACATCTGTCCCAACATCGCACCTGCAGACTCCAGTCTCCTGCGTCCAACACAACTCTTGCAACGGAGACTCGGATCCTTCGTCAACTCGGCTGCATCTGTGCGAAAACAAGGTTAAGATCCCGACAAGGCAAGGGTAGTCGCCTGCAAAGAATCGATTACTGAATGCTCTGTAAGATGGCAAGGGGAGTTGCCCGCAAATCTTCCCCGGTATCGTGCTTTTCTTGATCCTGTCTCGGCGCTAGTCAACTTTGTTGGACGACCCTTGTCAAGAGTAACGGGGCATAGCGTGATCTTGTCGCGTAAGCGGCTCGGTTTGGGGAGTTACCCCGTGTTCTGAAATTCGAAGATTTGAACTTTGAGTTCTCCACGCACTTACGCCACTTCCTCGAGAAAAAGGTCAACAGGTTGGTAACAAGATACATCGCATCATCTGGAAGATGACTGAATAGTGGAACGATGGGTCGCCACCCCCTTGCATCGTCAGCGTTCTTGGTTTGTGTGATGGAATTCCACCGCATATCAAGATGCTTTCTTTTCTCATTTTTCGACGATGTATAGACGTGTGTGGGTGTATGGAATTCCTGGTAAACCGTCATGCCGCTTAGAGAATCCGGAGGCGCGGAATTCTTCACCAGTTCTGATGATCCATAACAATGTCCATGTCCATCTACTATTTCGCCCAATTTCCATGATCCCTCTCCCATGTCCTCCAAGTCTTCCACAAATCATGCAAGATTGTTTGCTCTTTGCGTGTATCAAAGAGCAAGCCAACTTCCATTTCACTACTCCTCATATTATTCGTCATGGCAGGGGTAGCAAAGGAGGCCGTTGTGGTGAGTTGACCTTCCATTTTTGCGAGTCACGCGGATTCAGATTCAGACGCCGATATTCTCGGTCAACAATATTGAAATGATACTGAAATGATGTTACTATGCAGCCAATCGAGGCCGTTCTTCTAGGACTAGCCGTCGTCCTCGTTCTTGCGCGCTTATGGCTTCGTCTGGTGCGACAACATCAGAAGCTGACCATCAGTGATTGGATTCTTGTAGTTTCTTTGCTCGATGCTACCGCCCTATTCACGACCGATACTATGGCGTATAACCTTGGAGGAATGGACGAATACGACCCTGACGCTCCTGACGCTCCCATTGAGGAACAGATCTTGTTGATGAAAGTTGCCTTTGCTGGGAATTACTTTTACGATACTGGCATTTACTTCCCAAAGATCGCGTTGCTTGCCTTCTACTTCAAGCTGATTCCGCCAACAATGCCGTTCCTTCGAAAGGCGCTCTACGGCGTGAGTGCTCTGACGATATCTTTCGCAGTGACGACTTTCTTTCTGGATACCTTTTGGTGTGGCTCTGATGTTTCTATCAATTGGGACGCAGAGGGAAGCTGCAGTACCTATGACTCGAAAGATGTTTTCCGCATCGATTGGGCCATGAACTTTGTGTCGGATGTGCTGAGTACGCCAGGTCTTTTCTCCGTGCTATACAAGCCTCTCGACTGACAGGAAAACAGTTTTCACCATTCCATTTCCTCTCTTATTCGGTCTTCAACTCAGCGGCAGATACATCATCGGACTTGCCGCCACATTTTCCACCGGCATCATCACGATAGGGGCCAGTGTTGGAAGATTTGCTACTGTAGAAGCCATAAACGCATGGACAAACGTCTGTAAGTTCTCTATTGACAATGTGCGAACACTAGATTATGGAATAATACTAAACGGTCACCAGATGTGCTTTCCATGACGGAAATCGCGGCCGCAATTATTGTCGTGTCTCTACCCGCCTTGAAGTCGCTTCTTCATCGCAGAGGGCTGCCTACCTCAAAGTATGGGACCGGGCAAACTTTGTCAGCAGGGCGGGCATTTGACAAGCAGCCAACAAATTTCAGTCGAAGTCACATCAAGCTGTCCTCGGGAAGGGAGCCGTATGTGGCGACAGCGACAGCGGTTCCCGAGGAGGAGTCAGGCAGCGAGGTGGAACTGACCAATCTCGAGGGATCGAATGTGATCTACAAATCCGCTCGAGTGAGCGTGACATACCAACGACGAGAGGACGTTGACAAGGATTCGAGTCGCCCGGCGTTCGGTTAATAGAGACTGGGCGGAGGCGAACCCGGGTATGGAGAAAGGTTTGGACTTTTTTGTGAAGAACCAACCGGCGGGTCCGGGCCTGCCGGAGAGCGACCGAGAGGCCAATCAGCTTTTGCGGGATTCAACCACATTTCTGCGCATATGCGGCGCGGACGCACGAAGAGATTGTATTACCACGCACAAGAGCCCGGGGATACGAACCGAAAGAGAGCACACCGGCGGAGACAGTAGACACAGAAAGAAGAAAAAATAAAGGGTTCTGGGCTGTTTCACGCATCAAAATATGCAGAATTTGCAACCTCGCTTCATTTTCCCTGCCAATGCCGCTCTCAACAGTCAAGCTAATCCACGCGAAATGTTGCGCCGTCCATGGCCGATATCTTGGTGATCCCACCGTTGGAGCAGTTCGGTTCATACCCGGACCAATAGACAGCCGATATCCTGACTGTGACTCTCACGGAAACCATCCCGGCTCGTAGCATGCGCAGACGTATCGCTTCCGTGGTCCTCTTTATTAACGCTGATGTCTCACTGCAAACCGTACAACATATCCGCATAGTAGTCTGCTTCTTTCTCGAATCATTGTAGTTACCTGCGCTGTGCATTTAACTTGAGCCACCCGACGACATGGCGTATTTCATAGACGGAAAGGATTGCATGGTCAGTACCCCCAGCGTGATGCTCTTTAGTCATATGACTTCAAGACGACGATTCTAACGCCAGGATCAAGATATCCGAATGGATTCTGTTGGCAGCATCCTACGTGTTCGTCGGCCTGCGACTTTGCGCCCGGCTGTTCCGGCTGCGAGAGAAGCTAGCTTGGTCTGATATTCTTCTTGTTCTCTCTGCTATCAACGCTCTCGCATTGATCATATGTGATACCCTGACCTTCCAACTCGGCGTCATGGATCACTGGGAGTCTTCTGTTGCTCTGTCCAAGGTACGCTTCAAGCCATAAACCCCCTCCTGACATCACTAACATCTGGCTCAAAGATCTCCTTCGCGTCCAACTACTTCTACGATGTCGGAATGGGCTTTCCCAAGATGAGCATGCTGGCATTCTACTGGGCCTACTTCCCCTCAACTACGAGCCCGATAATGCGCAAGGCACTTTGGGGCATCACTGCTTTTGTCTGCCTTTCGTACATGGCTATACTCTGGGATGACACATTCTTCTGTGGCAAAGACGTTTCGGTGCAGTGGTCGCAGGAAGATGGCGCATGCAGCGTCTTTTACGCGCCGGAGCCCTTTATCCTCAACTTCACTCTCAACCTCGCTTGCTACCTCTGCGGTAAGATCGTCCCTTCAACTCTTTTTGTTGGTCCCTTTGAGGATGATCATTAATCATAGCATCTCTAGTCTATGTCCTTCCTTTGACTCTGTTGATTCAAGGTGTCCTCGAGCGATCCATCGGTCTAACTCTTACTTTCGTTCTTGGTACCTTGACCATCATGACTACTATCGTTCGCTTTATCACCCTGAAGGTTGGCACTGGTCAGGAGAACTTGGTTTGTAAGTCTTGGGTTACGCCTCTACCCATTCGTCAAAACATTGTCTGATCAGAGCTCTATAGATCCCCTGAGTATCCTCGAAATGACGCTCGCCATTACCGTTGTGGCACTTCCAGGCTTGAAGCCTCTGCTTGACCGAAAATCTACGAAGTCGTCGGTCGAAACAGTCCAGATTGACCACGAGAGCAAGAACTTCTCATCATGACCACATATATTGCGAGTTTTTTGTTCACCTCGTGATGGAATATTCTTGGCGCGGCGTTTACTGTCTGCGCGATGTGTGTATCATCACGCAGGAGAAGAGAAGCTTCCATGTCCTTCACATCAGGTCCTTTCACATAAAGTAGACATATGGTCTTAGTCCATGCCTCAAGTACCTAATCAGATCAATGGCACCACACACTCAGGTCCTCGTATGCACATTGGGTCTATTTTACTGTAATCCAGTTCAATCAAGACCTCATCCTCCCATGTAGCAAGCCTATGGGCGATATCTTCGCAACAGCGTTGTCATGTACTGATACTGATAGCGTCTACTGAGATTAATGTAATAATAACCGAGTGCAGAGAAGGAGCGGTTGAAACTCCATGTACAATCAACCCCCAGGTCAAAGCTCAGCGTGTCATACTACCAGTGTGCAGATTCAGTAGCGTCGTACTCCCTTAATTGTGCCAAGACATGCCTGTTTATATGGCGCGCCAACGCGTATGCTCCCCTTGTTTCAACCGCGAGGATGCTTGGCCTGATCTCTACTACGTACTGTCTACTCGTAATGTCAAAGGAGTCTGAGGAAAGGGATGAAATGACGAAGACCCTTACCTTTCCTGTCTGACAGCCCTGCCAATCACAAATCAAATCTCTGCGTTTGTATATGCATCTGATGAACAACCACAGCATGAAATCTGAAGGGATCGCAATCTTCGTGAATCTCAGATACACATTCCCGACAGTTCACTTGTATCACTTCCCCAAGTTTTCACGTTGCTTGTGTCACCATGGCAAGTTGCCTCGCCTTCAGCATTTCTTAATCGGACCGTCAGATTTTGCTCTGAGCTCATTATCCTGAGGTGTTGACTGTAGAGCAGGGGCGAATTTTGGATAGAGACCTGGCGTTTTTGAAAAGAAAGGTGAAGTTGCATTGACTTGAAAGAACATCAAGAGGGGAGTCTAAGACTCGGCCCAAGCACCGCAAGCTCCTTTTTCAATTTGAAGCTCTGGTTCTTCTGGGCGGTTGTGCCAAGCGTGGCAGTGCCCAGAGTCTTGGCAGCACGCTGGGTAACGATCGTCTCACCACCCCGATGTCCGGCCCCGGGAACACCCTCCGACAGGCGACCGGTGGTGATCTTGTCCGGTTCTTGTGCACGGAAACTGCGTCTTGGCGCGTTTTGAAACGGGTCTCCTCCGATTTTCCACGTGTAATGCGACTTTTTAGATTAAAGTATTGACGAACCGGTTTCCAGATTAATTGCATGCATGTTGTTTGGCGGGAGGAATGTTGTGCAAGTTTCCATATTCTGCCAATGTACACTAACGAGCCTCGAGTCCAGTCGGCTTTGACTCGTCAAGATCATGAACGCCAATCAGTGGGCCTGTCAAGCGCCATAAAGCGCGGGTTGTGGAGGATATGCGGAATCCCTTCAATGGCCAAGACCTCCTTAATTCGGCTGTTTGTTTAACTGTGAGAGCGAGCTTGGAAAGAGAATGGCTATCCACCTCTCGATCATCCCACTTAGCAATACCTCAAAGTCGAGTATAAATGGACGGGAAGGTCTTCTCTCAGAATGGCTTAGAAAACCTTTCAGTACCAGACTTCGACAACATCTCCGGAACTGTATACACTCTTTAAGCAACTTTTCAACTTCACACATCAGTCAACATGCGCACCGAAGCCTTTAAGCTCCTGGCGGCTCTGGCCATCGCTTTCCCAACCGTCTCTGCCTGCGTGGGTAAGGACGCTCTGCCTACCGCGACAGAGACAATCAGCAACACTGAGCCTATCGAGGTGGCCGCTGGCGAATCATACGATGGAAAGATGGCCCGCTTCGACAGAGGATCGGGAGCTTGCAAGGCCCAGACGGAAGGTGGCCAGAAGGACACCGTCTTTCTCCTCCGCAAGGGTGCCACTCTGAAGAACGCGATCATCGGAAAGGACCAGATGGAGGGCGTCTACTGCATCGGTGGTGGCTGCACCATCGAGAATGTGTGGTTCGAGGATGTCTGCGAGGACGCTATCTCGATGTTAGTCAAACCATCGCCTTTCACTTGGCGACCCGACCCGACGTCTGCGTGTCGGAACTAACGTCCACTATAGCAAAGAGGATGAAGCCGGCACCGAGACTCGCATTATCGGTGGCGGTGCCTACAACGCCGCGGACAAGGTTGTTCAGCACAATGGCTGCGGAAGTGTCAGCGTAAGTAAAACAATCCCGAGTTTTGGGAATTCGTCGCATGTTGTAGTTGCTCATAACAATGACAGATTTCAAACTTCTACGCATCCGACTACGGAAAGGTCTACAGAGCTTGCGGCACTGTAAGTCTCTCGAAACAACACCCTTCACGTCATGATACACTTAACTCACCATTTCCTAGTGCGATGCTTGCAAGCGTACCGTCACGATTGAGGGAGTCTCTGCTTACGGCGGCGGCGAGGTTGCTGGCATCAACGAGGAGACTGGCGATGAGGCGACTCTCGTCAACGTCTGCACTGATGCCAAGACACCATGCCAACTGTATAACGGTCCCGGCGAAAAGTCTGGCTCTTGTTAGATCTCATGTCGATTCGACCTCAGGTCGAAGCTGTTGGGTTTGCGAGTTACCCTGCTCCCTTGATGGGATGCAAGGCAGCAATAAACATACAAAGCTGAACAGCGAAAGAAAAATTCGTGTATATATTTCTTCGAAGAGTGTTATTGGTCAAATAACGTCAAATGTCATATATCTTTCCAAGACTTATAATAAGCCTGCACTCTTGTTAGAAAGGGATACTTCTTTCAGGAAACGTGTAAATGACGTGGCTTTGAATCACTTTTGAGTCCGAGATGGCTCGAATTTGTTCCGTTATGCCGCAGAGTCATCGTCACTTCAGCAGCCACTTCAGTGATTTTGATTGACGCAGGTACTCCTCCAATTGTGGAAGGCCATGAAATTGTTAGTTTCCCGATGGATTGAAGTTCTGTTAGAATACATATCCCATTAGATGCTGGATGGTGTCTCTACACCAGTCTCTAGTTTTCCTTTAACCTTACTCGATTTCGAGATTATTCATAAGCGGGTACAGGGAAGGTAAGGTTAGATTATGAGATTCTTTATTGTTACCCTATTACAGCACGTACCTATGTACCGACGCCATCTAGCTGTTGATGGGATACATAAAGTACTCTTGCGAGGTGGAGGATGCGGAAAGGGCACGCCTCACAATTCACAAGCTAAATTTGACATAAAATCGTTTGATTAGAGATTCTTTTGATGACATGACAAAAGAAACTGTATAGTCATTATACCCATCCTGTCCCAGTACGCCAAAAAGCAAGACCCTAGGTATCATGTTCTCTCCCCGAGTTTATAAGAAGAAGAATCCCATGGTAAGTGCCAAACTCCACGCAATGCAGTTGTAAATGCTCGCTCCAGAACTCAGACCCATCGCGCCTGAATCATCATTGCTCTTGCCTGAAGACGAATTGCTCGAGCCACCCGACGACGACCCAGGGGTAGATGTAGTCGCCGTACCAACTCCCTGAGACGAAGTCGCGAGCCCACCACACGCTGTGCCATCGGGCTCCGCGCTACCGACCTTGGCGCCGACGTTGGCCACTACGGCCTCGGTGTCGCGGACGGGAATGCTCGCCTTACCGTCGCTGCCCACCTTGACGGTAATATCATCGCTGGCCACCTGACTGAGCTTCCCGTCGTTGCCCTGCTCGAAGCTGAGGCCGTTCCACGTCGTCCCGCTCGTTGCGTCGGCGCCATCGCCGGTCAAGTAGGCCAGGTGGAGCGTCTCTCCGGCAAGGGAAGAGGGCAGGGTAACATCGACGGTGATGCTGCCCTTATTAGCGTCAGAGACGTTGGCAACCTTGCCGTTGAGCAGGACAAAGGAGGCGAGCGAGTCACCCTGGTATACCGACCAGGCCTTAATGTAATCATTGTAGCCTGAGGGGTAATCCGTAATCTCGGCCTGTGCGACGCGTGCGGTGCAGGAGCGGCCAATAGTTTGGGCAAAGGCAGCCATGCCGTAGTAGAGCGGCCGGACGAAGCGGTCGCGTCCGAACATGGCTGTCGGTTGCCAGGCGCTGGCGTTGCTGTCGTAGGTCATGTGAAACTGAACGGACGAGATGTTGATAGTTGTGGCGTAGAGCAGGAAATTGAGAGTCCATAGGGCGGCGGCAAAGGTGTTGCTGAGTCCCTCGACACCAAGCGGTCCAACGACAGACATCTCGCGCAGCGCAAAGGGGTGCGTAGTCTTTTCGGCTTGTGTGATTTGAGCTTCAATCGCCGAGTCGAACTGCGCCTTTGTCGTTTCGAAACGCAGCATGTAGTCGAGAGTCAAGGGGTACGGGAAAGACCCGACAAAGTAGAAGTAGTTGTGCTGATTCCAGCTCGTAACGAAGCCAACGTCGGAGCTGTTGGCCTTGTCATCGATGCCGTACTCAACTAGATCCTTGATCTCGAAGCCTGTGCCAGCTACCCAGGCGGTCGAAGCAGACGACTCGAAGAAGTCGCTGTGCAGCCCACGGGGTTCCAGGACATCTTCCCACACAGCATTGGCGCGTTCTCGCCATTCCTTGGTGTACTCCGTGCCGGACCAGGTAGCCTTCTTCCGGAAGCCGTTGTCGCCGTAAAGGTCTGGCTCGTTGCCGAATTCGAATGACATGATGTTGAGGTTGGTGCACCGGTCGATAATCTGAGATGCCATTGTTGTGAGCCTCTCGAGGTAGTCGGACTCTGCGTAGCCTAGGTTCAGACCCCATGTGACGGGCGTACCCTTGGGCAGGCGATTTGCGATCTCCATAAAGCGGGGACCGACGATGAAGTTATCAGCAGGGACGTTCCCCAGTGCCGTAGGGCGGGGGTTCGGCTTGATAAGCCATTCGTCTTGTGAATCGTTGTAGACGAGGTAGTCTTGTGTATTTCCTCCCAATCGCATGTGCGGTGGACGACCGGTGAAGTTGGCTAGGTTGTTGATGAGGTTCAGAGACAAATCGTTTGGTGTTTCATCGCCCATGAAGTAAAAGAGGTGGTCGAGCTCGATGCCGAAGCCGGCGAATGATGGGTCGATTGTTGCTGAGACATTATTGGGGACTGATTCGGAAAGCGTCAACGAAAGGACGTTGTCAGCAGCGAGAGCGGCAGAGATCAGGCCGCAGCCGACAAGAATGCGACTCTGCAACGGCGCCATGTTGTGATTACAACCGGAGGGGAAGTGGCCTGGATTAGGTTGCGGGTGGCTTGTTCGGTTGTTATGAAGGTCCTACACCATCGTGAGAATTCAACAAGAAAGCGGGACGGCCAAAAGACTTTAAAGACGATTAGAAACAAGACCGAGACAGGCGGTCTCTCCAACGTCGGTCTACCCCATCCATTTCATCATTGTAGTGGATCAAAGCCGGAGCTTTTGCGCCCTCGTGCGGCGTTGTGTCAGTTCAAACCCTTGCTGGTACCAAGCGACGACGAGGCGTTTGCTCCAGTCTGACGCGTACCACCAGCTTGGAGTGCTTGGGACTCTGGGAGCTGTGGGAGCTTGGTGAAAAAACACACTATGTGACTAGAATTCTGAAGGATGAGCGGCCCAAAGTCACATAACCCAGTTTTCTCGAACCGCAGTAGCAGATCTGTTTGGGACGCTTCACCGAGGCCATTGGAGAGCCAGAGGAGCCTAGACTACGCGCCACAAGAAATGCCATGCCTCTTTAGGCGCCACGATGCCGTTGTACCGTAATTGCGACAGCCCGTTGGTGGGTTAATGACATCAGTCCGGATTACACACCTTGTCGTACCCTGTCCGGTTCGGTGGGCCAAGCGTTGGCAGATTTGGTACGGAGGTGCGTCTCAATAGTCCTTGCAGTTGCTGCCAAGACCAACCCCTGCCATAGACAGGGGAGTCGACAAGGGGCTGGCTAGGGTGTGTACAAGCGGCAGAATTCGGCCACTTCCACCTACTATAATTATCGTCAATTCAGCAGTAAAAAGTCGTCAATTAAGGTCAATTAATGGTCATTTAACGGTATAATCCAGCCCAACGACCCTCTTTATATTTATTACCGCCCTCTAGGGCAATTATCTATTAAATATGGTAAAGTACTTTTTCTATCTATTTTTAGATCTCCTCTTATAGTAATACTTTCTAGTACTTTTATTAGTAACGTACTACTTCGGCCCATAACGAAGGCGCCCCTTTCCTAGTAGTCTATCTCTTCATCCACAGCTAACAAGGTTTAATAGGATTAAGGTCGGGCAAATTACCTAGCCAAAAAAGCTTCGTAATCTCGAAAAGGCTATATATATAGTAGGTAAAGTAATAGTCGTGAGCGGGTACCTTATCCTTTTATATAATTAAATTACTAAATAATCTTTTAATATAAAAGAATAATTTAGATAATAGGATCTCTTTACGGTATCTATACTAGTCAATTCCGCCCTTACCGTTCCGTATTAACTTACCCGACTTCGTATTCTAATTAAATTAAGGCTTACGGCCCGGTTAATTCCGTAAGCCTATTCGTTCCATACTACTCTCGAGCTCCCACTATTAACGTTAAACGGGCTCGAACTCTATATTAAGCTTAATAATCACTATATTAGCAGCTTTCCTCTTAATAGCAGTCTTAGGAATCTAATAGTAGCACGGCCCTTTCGAATTATATAAAAAAGACCCCTAAAACATGAATTCGGAATAACCCTTCTACCTCTCTTATATATACTACCTAAAATAGGCCTCGTCTAGGCAATACCAAAGCTTATAACTACCGTAGTAGTAATTAAAAGTAACCGCAGTCTCGTCTAACTATACAACCCGCTTCCAATCGTCAAGGGTCTAATATTAATAATTAAGGCACCACTTAAATCGCTCTTACTACATCCTTTTCATTAAGCCTAGCTTACAGGTTAGTTTAATCTTATAGAAGCTATAACAATAAAGGATTTACTAAATAGTCATTATAAATACATCAACGCCCTCATCCCTTAATAAGTCCCTAGTAATATCAGTACAGTTCTTTTCATACCTATACCGGTCGCGGCAGACCTTATAAATAATAATATCGTTAACCTCTTTTGTCTATTTAATTAAATAGCCACTTCGGGGGGCATCTTCATAATAAGCGGGCTTAATCAAAAAAATAAGAATAGTTAGATCGAATCCGTTCTTTTTTACATAGATAAGAACGTCATAAACAGTTCGAACTAGAATTTCTAAAGCCTAAAAGACCTATTTAGTAATCTACCTAATAAATCAACTTTATAAAGCAAGAATTACTACCCTAACGCCTAAATCTAGCTTCTTCTTTATCGGCATCTCAAGATCCATACTAAAGAAAAAAGAGCAGTATAGTAAATAGCGATTTAGCGGTTTTAATATTATCGTAGGATTAATAATAGTATCATAATAGCGGTATATAGGGTAAAATCGTTGCTATGGGCAGTACTAGGGGGAAAGTAAGTAAAGTAGGTCAAGATCAATCCCTAGGCTCTTATTGGTTCAGATAGGCAGTAATTGTGGGTCTGGGGCTTGGCAGCGACTGCAAGGACTATTGAGACGCACCTCCGTACTGCTGTGGCACTTGACCGATGTGTTGCGTTTCCCCCCCGCGCAAGAAACGTGTGTTGGGTCTGGGTAACAGGGGTGAAGGTGAGAGACGGGTGATGTCAAACAGACGTTGGTTGTGCAGAGTCTGCGGAACTGTCAAGGAACCTGGAAGAGCCAAAGATAATACAGGGATAACAGCAGTTGTTTCGCTTTCCCTCCAACTACTTGCGGTTAGGAAACGTGACAGCGCCGCAGCAAGCCACAGCTGCCACACCCATCCACCACAGATCCAGCCATCCATCCCGACATTGCTCGGAGGGCCTGGATGGAAATGAGGATAGCGTGAATGCAGCATATAGTTCACGGAGAATTTGGCCTTCCCATTGTCGCTTTCCATCCCGCTCAAGTGTCACAACCCATCGACTCAATTTCTCAAGATGACAGTCTCGCTTCTCCCGTTTCCTGCAGGAACAATGGAACGGAAAATGTCGATTACTGCCGATCATTTTGTTCTTCAAACCGAAATTAGAAACGTTTTGCTCCACCCACGTGTTGAGGCGGTACACTTCTTTCAACGGAGCTTTTCAATGGAACCGAATACCGATTTTCAGGAGAGCCAAAGCAGCTGCACGACGGGAGGGCAAACAAATCTAGCAGCACCTTGAGAATAGAACCCCGTTTGCGAAGCACTTTGGAAAGGAAGATGGAAGACTACCTCGAATTGGCTGACGTCAATTGAGATGCAGGGGAACGGGTCAATTGTGGTCACATGGCAGTCCCAGTCTTATTAGACGCCAAGTTGAATCCCTCGCCTCTCCGTCTCCCTTGCCAGGCGGTTCGTCGTTGTCAACAATGACGAACCAACAGTCATGACCGGAAATGAGATGGCCGGGTAAAGGGCCCAGGCGCACGTCTGACAACAAGAATAACTGAAGCTATTGCTTCCAATTGACTTTGTCTAGCTGAAAGACTAAGAGCAGAGAGCAGGAGGATTGTGCTTCCAACACACCTCCAAGGACGCCAATGCTGAATGGGATTGCTGTGAATCCCCATCGCGTCAAATGCAATGCGGGATTTTGCTGTTATCCGAGACGTGGCTAGGCCTAAAAGAACATCCCAGCCATTTCTTTGGGGGCCGAAAAGGCGGACCGGGAACACGGCATGCCCACGGATCTGATGCCTAGATCCGTCCGCAATGCATCGCTCTTCTTCTTCTTCTTCTCTCAGAGGACCCAGACATGCTATTCTCCGCATTTCACCCAGCGTCAGCCTTGTTCTAGTCACTTCAGACTCAAGAGTCTGGAAGTCCGCACCTCGATGAACTTCCCGCTCCTCGATCCGACATGTTCAATCAGCCCGCGGTCCACTCAATGACCACCCATGCCTTGGCACCCGGGCCTTGGTCCTTGCAGATCGGGTCCCGGGCGCCCTGTGCACACTCGGAACTGTCATCATGACTTCTTTTTCGTTTGGCTGCAGCAAGCCCAATCTGGCGAAGAGCGGCCGGATCGTCGGAAGTGCCGGTAGCGCGGTCAATCCGGCAAAACATCACATCACGGCATCGGGTCCCGCACCCGAGCGTGGCCTGTGCTGGACTGTCAAGATTCTGCACAGATTCGAGATGTGAGGAGTCAAGTTGGATGAGGTGAGCTATACGATTCTTTGCTCTTCGGCAAACAGAACAGCCAGAGAGTTATTAGTAGTCTCATCATCTGGCATTGCTTAGCGAATGTCTCCATGTACTGTTCAGCCCACACATAAAGTTGTCCATCAGGCAAGACGAGACGATAGAGACTCTGGAGTGTTTAGTTTACTGTCCACGGAATTTGAAGCAATCCGTTTACACCCAGCTCTGGTTCTCCATCACAAAACCTTGGATGAGCCATCACTTTGGAGTTCGGTAGTATACTAATAGGTCTCGGGTTGGGCTATAGGAATGGGTCACCTCGTAACCTGACAGTCCCCGGATCACTGTCTGACATTGAAATCTACGGAAGTTGCACACAAAGACTTGGATGAAATGCGAATTATTTGTTGCCCCAAGGGCTTGTCTATTTCCTAATGCTCTACGAATGCAGTTTCTGCACTCTTACAAACAGCGCCTCGTGATTGCTTAGCAGTACACACAAGCGCCGGTCGGGCAGTAGCCATGGCTGCAGCTGAAGCTGCAAAGCCCCTTGTAGCTTTCATCCAATCCAGCAGCAGGGCATCCATCACGGCCGTCTCCGCCAGGGCTGGTCGTCTGCTCGCCGAATGCAGAGCACTCGCACACGCCCTCGGGACAGTATCCGTTGGAGCAAGAGAACTCGCAAAGACCGGTGTAGTTGTCAGACAGACCTGTCTTGACCGAGCCAGAAACACAGAAGGATCCAGTGGAAGTGGGCGCAGGAAGGCTAGAGGTGGCGGTCGCCGTCGGTGGGGTCGTTCCGGAGGGCACGCACTTCTCCTTGATGTACGCGGCCGCGTCGTTGGTGTAGAGCTGGAAGTAGTTGGTGTGGGCATCCTCGCCCATCGTTCGGCCCTCGCCGTAGGCACAGACGATGTCCTCGCCGTTGCACCAGGAGCGCAGGACGCCGGAGAAGTCATTGAGGTTGCTCAGGGAGGAACTAGAGCGGGCCATCTGCCCGCTGAAGCTAGAGCCAGCCTCGACGTTGTAGCTTTGGTTGGCAATGTGAGTCGGGTCGCCGAAGAGGAGAGCGGCGCAGACTTTTGAAGTTCATGTTAGTGTTCGGCCTGTTGCTCGTATTTGTGGGATGAGAAACATACCCTGGTTTCCTGGCGCGGCGGTAGCAGCCAGCCCAGAATCAGCGAGGATATCTCCAACAACGTTGGCACCTTCACTGTAACCACTCAGAACAATCTTGGAGCTAGGGCATTTCTCGCTGTATGCCTTGACCTGGGCGACTCCGGAAACACGGCCCTCCTCAACCGCGTCAGGGTAACCAGAGGGGTTGGACGCATCGAACAAGATATCTTCGTAGTCGCAGCTGGAGAGGCCATTGCAGGTGGCGTCAATGACGAGCTGCTGTCTGCCCGGGTAGCCCTCGTTCCATCCGCGGGCGAGGAAGATGTGCAAATCGGTGCAAGATCCGGTGCCGGTGGACTGGCGCTTTCCCGGGGCGGCAGAGGCCAGGAGGGCAAAGTTGAAGAGGGCGGCGGCTTTCGGGGACAACATCGTGAAGCTGTTTGATTATTATTAGGACTATTGACTACAATTGCTGAGAAATTGTACAAAAAAACGAGTGACAAGGTTGCGACGAGGAAGCCGTGAAGAGACAGAAAAGTTGTGCGCGAAGGGGGATCCGGGGAAAGCGGATCTTTTAACTCAATCTTCCATTGCGGCTGATGTTGATGGACTGGGGAATACCGCATCAGTTCATTGTCGCATCAAGTAAATGCGTCTTTCCCCTTACTGCTGCTCCTCCGAGTCAGCCGATAGGAAGTTATTGTGGGTTTCTTCGGACTTCATCCTCGTTAATAGCAAGATAATCGCAGACTGGTATCATTACAGGGTTGTAAGTGGAACGTGCACACGCTTGTTGCTGGGCAATACGAGGATAACTGTAAGCACGGCGGTGGAGGTCGCAAGATGAGGCTTATGCAGCGTGTGCAAATAGGGGCACGGCGGCACAATGAGAGGCTGGTAGTTGGGAGTTGATCCGAGTTGTTGAGCAACAATCTCTGAACTATCTATCCTTACGGATACCTATGGATATGTAAGTGTGTGGACAAAGTTTCCGTACTCAGACTAAGTAAGCAAGGGCGGAATGAGGACAACTTCAGAACATGAACAGCGCTAATCAACTATCTCAATTAAGCGCTGATATCCATGCCACGCAACACAGAAAGCAGGAAAGAGGCGAAAGGGTCGGAAACTTGCATATCCTGCCAGCTTACAGAGTACAATGAAGTGTGAACATCAAAGGTCCCCCCCCCGTAGGCGTGTGATAAAGGCCCGAAGGATGTCCTTGAAAGTTGACCTATGCACAACATCATTGTGTTTTTATTCCCGACTTTTGAGTTCCGCGGCTCGCGTGGGATGAGCGGCGAGCCCGCAATAGGGAAAAGACTAAGCAGGGATGCATTGCGCCCGACTCCACAGACGCGAATTCAGGCCGTTTCGCTTCATAGAGATTCGAGAATCTAGATAGATCAACAGTACACCTACTCTGGGTTTCGGGTCGAGACATCAGGTTTGAGTTCCCACACGAATTGTTGTTAACAATGATAGTCACTTGCGTTAGTCCCCTTTCGCCTTCTAGAAACTCGATCAACATGATTTAAATCCGATGCCTGGACAGAGACAGATCAGGCATGGGTAGCCAAAGTACATGTAGTTTTCACGGGAAGTGGGCACATGCGATTATCGATGTCAAAACAGCTTCCTTTTTCGCTATCATGGCAATAGGCTGACACCAATTGACAGCAAGTCTTGCCTTTGTCTTTGAAATCGACCCTCGATTAATCCGGCACAGTGTCCGTCAAACAGCGTCATCTCCCCGAGGCCGGTTTCTCTGCTGTTTATAGCGTGTTCGCGGTAGCTGTGATGGCAGGACATCCCTATCCGATGCCCCGTGATACGCAGTCTGCTGCTGATCAGCGTAATAAGCACTGCTTCGCCTGTTGGGTGGATTCTTCTCTGCTGCTTCTTCCTGTATCGTTCCCCAGCCACCAGATCTCGTGAACACATCATTCCGATATTCCGTCCCGTCTCCCGGCGAGTAGACAAACTGGTCGCGCCTCTGCAGAGGGATGTGGTTGAATCGCCAGTCCCAAATAGCAGCGTAGCATCCACGATAGGACCCGAACGCCACAGCAGTCCCGATGATACTTCCGGCGACGATGTCGTACCAATTGTGGGCCTGGTCTACTGTGAGAGAACATGCGATAAGTAAAGCGCCCAGAAGAGGCGCAAAAGTCAACGCAATCTTCCAGAGAGCTGGGCGGTAGTCTGCCCAGACCTTGAGCTTAGCGTTTAGGTACAAGAAAAGGTACACAAACCCGGCAAAGGCGGCCGTTGAGTGGCCTGAGGGAAAGGACGTCATTGCATTCTTGAGTTTGTCGCGGTCTGGTTGCGTGCAGACGTCTACTGAGTACATGATCTGCTGGAAGCCAACGGCGTTAAGTCCTGTTGAATTGTTGCTGGCTGCTCGCGTGAGGTCGGGCATGCAGACTGCCAGAAAGTAGGGTCGAAATCCGCCGATTAGCTGTTTGATTATGACTTGAATCAATGTGGCGAGTGATATGGAGAAGATTAGGCCGATGATGCCGTTATTCACGTCCCAAATGTTCCTCACACGAAACTGGGCGAGGAGAATGGCGGCGATTGGTATGGCGGCAGATAACAACGCCGACAACCAGGTATCGATGATCCAACCGCGGTCGGGGTATGCCCACTGGGGATATACAATATCTCCAGAGCCGTTGAAGGTGATAGGAAAGCTGCGTGTTGCGGCCAGAGGGGCATTGTAAATCTACAACGCATCAATTCTCGTTGCCGCTTTGTGACGTGATGTGGGATGTATGACTTACGCCTAGAGCAGCGCCTCCTATTGCCGACATGACGAATATGTCAAACCAGACGATTTTTAGCCATGCTATGAAAAAATCCCACGAAGCCTTCACCGAACGGAGTGTGTCGCTAGTAAACTCAGGCAAGGGATCTTGGTCGCCATGAACGCGTTGCATACGACCGCGCTGACGCATGATGTAAATGCTAGCCAACGATTGTTGTTCAACTTGCCAAAGAGAAGCGTGAAAATGATTGTTCGCACTTGCCGGTTGAAGAAGGCGGAATGGCTGAGTTAAGCTAACGCAAGGTCGATGCAAGGCAAGTCACGATGCAGGCCAGACATTCCGCAAGTGCAAACAAGAGCTTGCCAGTGAAATAACTATGCTACTTGGGGGGATTGTGAATCAAAAGTATAAGAAGACGTTGCCAGCCGTCTAATGTTCTGACTTCTTCATGTCACAGCTAACCTCGGCGATGCAGCGCACGGTAGGCGCGTTGTCTGTTCTGATACTCCAACGGCCCAATTCAATCTCGCGTGCTTCTGTTTCGGCGTGTTCGATCCGATGGGCTCAGTCAGCCGCAGGACACTCGAGTGGACGAGAAAATGAGACGGACGGCTGCCAGAAAACTCTGAGCATGGCCAGCGGGTTCTTGGCATTCTAACGGGTTGACGGTGAGCAAAGCCGCCCGAGAGAGTGCGGACTCGTAACTTCCCCTGTTTGGCGCTTGTAGACAATTCAAGCTCGATTGCAAGTTCACGAGTCAGCTCTCTAGCTTTCAAAACAATTCTCACATAGCGCGAAGCAGCTTGCTTCGGCACGCAATGGCGCACACCAGTCAATGGAACCCAAATGAACGCAGTGGGAAGTCTTCCTAAAGTTGCGGAATAAAGTGACAGCGAAGCTTCAGACTGGACGATCACAATCTTGTCAAAACCTCGGACGCGTGGATTCGGAAGCCTTCAATCGGTCATGCCTCGGTAGGCGGGCTCTTAATCGCAAGTTGTAATCTCAATCAAAGTCCATGAGGCAGGCTTACCTCGTTAGACAACTTTGTGATAGCTCCGAACTGTAATTGAAGCGCCTGATATTACGAAGAGCCCTTTAGTTCAAGGTAGTAAGTCAATGCCATCAGGATGTGAGCACGACGGCCTTACTCGTGTTACAATCAACGGGGGGTCGTCATGATAGATCCAATGGACCATCGTTTCTCGCAGATCAACAACGATCGAAGGAAAGTCCCACACGAAGTTGAGATGTTGACATCAATCAATTCATATCTAGGTTATTAACAATAGCTCAATGCTTAGCAGCATTAGTAATGGTACATGTAACGTAATCGGACTTGTCCTAGCCTGGACGACGTCTCATTCATCGTCCAGCTCAGCCAAGGCTACTGATGTAAACGTCAGACTTTGTTTTCAGGCTTCACCTCATACGTCGTTGTGACAACGATGCCTCCGTGCTGCCCGCTAGATTTGCTAGTGAGACTACCATCGCGGCCACCATTTTGAGGCCAGTTGGTTGAGTCGGACGGCTGGACAATCTGCTCTTCGCTGGAGTTGTTGTCTAGCTCCGTCATGTTGTACTTGTTATACCGTCTCTTCGCGGACAATCCAGATCGATCTGCACTCTGACCTCCACCTCCTATGGTGACTAACTGATGACCATATCTGTCACCTGAGCCGGGATACTTTTGGTTGGCTCCACTGCTGCCCTTGGTAGACCTTAACCAATGTGAAGAAGAAAAGAGTGGTCTGATGCAGGCTGCGTTCACAGCGATAATTCCAACAAACTAAACGAAAACATCGTGTTAGTTCTTATTTGTAATTTTTGTATCATTGGATTGAACTTTTCACTCATGAACTTTGAAAAGCACTTACAGTCTCTCTGATTGCCCAAATAGTGCTGACATTGATGCCTTCGATATCCTTGAGTGATAGGATGCAGCGGAGCAATGCGGCGATCATGACGAAGACACCTGAGCAAAGTAGAAGCCCTATAGCAAGCTTTCGCTTGATGCTGAGCTTGACAGCCCACAAGAGTGGAAGTGGTATCGAGACAATGAGGAAATCCGTTCTGTTGTAAGAGGCCTCGTCAGTAACAAGTATCGAAGCGGTAGTTTGATGGAAGTAGTCAACATACGAAATGTTGAGAACCACAAGGCTCAGGTAGTTCGCAACGGCCAAGGTACATTCATCTGATTCATCGTTAGTAATTCTATCGTTCTTCTTTCCCTTGGGCTGGGGATGACAAACCTCCTGGATAAGGCACCACCTGCCAATTTCTTTGCACAGGTGTACAGTGGCCCCAAATGACAGCTATGACGCCAACATAGCCTAGTCCTGTCGCTACGGCTGTCCACTTGACAATCTTTTGTTGTCGTGTAGCAAGCCTACGCCATGTTGTTAGAGGTGAGATCAACTTTCGCTGTCTGAATGCAAGTGGGGACACGAACGTGATGCGACTGAAGAAGAACAAAATGCAAGCTTTGAGACACCAAATGAGAGTTACATAAAAGTTCCAGCCTGCCAGCAGACACTTAGAACCAAACTCAAACCTGGCTATTTCCTCCGACGTCAACGTCGCGCCGATATCGTTCGTGATTCCGATGTTGGTTCCATTCTGGCCTATCAAGACAAAACGCGTTAGAAAGACAAGTATGTCAATGTTGACTCCATAAGCATCCCAAGATTCTCACCTATAAGCTCCAACATGCAAAGCTCCAGCTTCAAGGCATGAGAGTCAGCTACCGAACGTAGAGTTTGTATCATGAATGGTTTTGTTGGTTGCGTGTACTTACAGTCCAGAATATCAAGCACAAGATAGCAAAGTAGTCGTCACCTTGCCAGTTGAAGCCCACGATTTTCCATCGAGCAAAGATACGAAGAAGAATAACCAAGACACCGAGCCCATATTCTGTCCAGGCCTCAGTCTGAAAGGGGGTCGCCATTTTGCTGTACGGCGACAGGAAGAGGGGCAAGCCCGGACGGACGAGCAAGCAAAGAGGCTTTCACTCAAGTAGGCTCAGTTCATAAATGGGACCTGCTCAATCTGCAGTCTTTCAAACTTGCCCAAGTCTAAGGCTGGCTGACGGGAATTCTCGGGTTAAAAGCCGCATCCCCTGGCTTAGTTTCGTGTCTCCATTTACGTACGCCATAGCCCCCTATGTCTGGGCGAGGCTTGATTTCTCTTACCCCTTGCCTGTGATGGACGTCTGTATTACGAAAGAGCTCAATTCTTCTCGCGACGTGGGATTGAGACAATCTTGGTCCCTGCCTAGTTCCGTTGAAAGTTCAAACGGCCCTCCTTATCCCAACATGGCCAACTCAATGCGATGATGGGGATCGGCAGTCTGAAGGAGCTTGCGATTCTCGAACAAGCCCCGGTTGACGAACCCTAGCAGAAGTCGTGCGCTAGGCTATAAAGCTACACAACAGAGTACCTTGAGGATCTCAGGATGACAAGGCCGTCTCTTGGCAACCGTTGGATTTTGGATTCCAAGCCTTCTTGTGCCGAGTATGCGCGAGATAATCATGTGATCGGTCTGCTAGTTATAGTCCCATCCACGTTATTTGCCTACAAGAGCCGTGTTGATACCCTGGCTTCTGACCAACCCCTGATGGCTTTCGCTCATTAATTATGAGGCTCAAGGCTCATTCGGCATCAAGTCCGAAAGCCGTCTGGAATTTGCCGTTGTGAGATGGCTCGAAAGAGCAAAACATCACCTGAGAGTCTCCTCCTTTTCTCCTATTCCGTCTGGCTACCTGAGTGTTGGCGCCCGTTTCGGTCCAATGATACTTGATCCTGTCCATATGCCCATGCATAAGTCCCATGACAGTGTGGTACTCGGAACTGCAAGGTCTAACCGGAATTACATGGAACATAAATTCCTCTGGATCAGCGGAAACAAATCATCTTACGAGGTGAACGCTGCCAAGCCAGCCCCCAAGGAAGAGGGGTAGGCTCGCAAGCCGATCAACCTTGCATGTGCGCCATGGATATCCCCTCACCCTAAGTGCCTAGTAGCCTCAATGTCTTAGAGACGCGCATTAACGTAGCAGAGAGTTGACAAAATGGGACGATGCAACTCTCTCATACTGGAATTGAAGATAGCTTCTGTATGCCTGGTAGGCCGTTCTCTTTGATATCGTCGTAGGGCCTACTCTTGGAGTGATTTCCCCATGCACCCCTATCAACCGGGCCGATGAATACTGGCATTTTGTGATTTGATCCACATGTTTCTCGGCCCAATGGAGCCTGCCGTCAGAAACAGAAGCCTGAGTAGCGCCTCTCCCGTCCGGCCCCATTTCCCGATGTTCTCAGCTTTGTCCCACCGCGATTTTCCCACGGGGGCCCCAGGGTTTGGCGGGGGACCTAAGCTCCAACTATTCGTAGCCAACGCTTGTCATGCTCCCCAGAACTCAAAAGCCACGACTAATTACGGGGTACTGTTACTTTCCGTCCGATCAGCCAGTTCCGACAGTAAGTACAATAAAACCGAACTTGGGGACAGAGCATTTCTTCTCGAATAGTTCAACATCTTCGCAAAGAAACGTTCATACTGGTAATTCAAAGTCGTCTCATTCATGCTGATCCCTGACTGAAGTTTCCCGACTGCGCCGCTGAAGATTCGGATGCAACTTAGCACGCCCAGTTGCTGTGCCGCACCCTGACTGGGTCGCTGAGGTGGAGATATTTTGATTGAATGAACCGCTGTACCAACGCCGAGCAAGATCGTCGGGTTCGCAGGGTCCGAATTCTCTCCAACGGTCCGAATTAGGCCCCGGTATCAGGGCTCCCATGGAACCCAAGCCCTTTAGGATGCTGCTTCTCAAGTTCCAACACGTACTACCTCCTGCATACACGCACTGCCTGCGTTTCTTTGTACCAGATTTTGATTGGATGTACGTAAAAGAGTGATCTTCATTCGGTGCTCGTCGATGCCTAAGGTAGTACAGAAGTGCCGCATAATGGCCCAGTTGAACTCCTCGAAACGGTATCATTGCAAGCACAGGGACCCCAGACTGGCAAGGGCTCAAAACGTATGTCTACACAAAATGCATGCGGTCGTAAATATCCACACAAAATCATTCACTCTCCTGTCTGCTTAACAGATGTTGAGCTGCGGATACAACTCCGCCACCAGCAGCTTCATCTTGGGCCTTTGAAAACCCCGGGTAGCAAGCCAACTGGTATGCATGCATGGATCCCAATACCGGACCCTGCATACCACGGTAGAAGACCTCCTAATTATGGACGGTCGCGTTTCCTTCTTCGGCTTTCGAGTGGCACTTGGCAGCGGCGCTGACTTCCTTAAGCTGTACTACTGATGCTGGGTGCGTTCCCCCGCACGTAGACTTCAGACGTAGCTTGAGGCGTGCGTGAGGGGTGTGGCGGTTGAGGAAGAATCCCGGAATTGTTGTCGGAATTGCCAGTCAGTGTCCGAATACAAGAGCACCAGTCCGAGCTCCATGGGCTATCCTGTGACTTACCATCCATCTCTCTCGTATCATCAAACGCTACTACCCACGAGCACAGACTTGCAGTGCAGCTATCATCAATATGGGATCTATACCGCAAGAGATTGTTTACGACTTCATCGTATGCGGGTGAGTTTCTTGTCACAAAGCATACTCTTGGATACCTAAGCTGGTGGTTAACATCTAGTTCTCAAGCGGGGGTACCTCCGGCTGCGTCGTTGCAAGCCGGCTTGCTGAGGTTCCCGGCGTTAATGTTCTAGTCATTGAGGCCGGTGAACACAATGAGAATCTTGAAAACGTTCACATGACAGGAGGGTAAGTAATTATTTGTATTGATGGAAACGACTGCGAGCTAACAGTTTGATCCTCACTGCAGGTGGTCGCAACTATTCGACAAGGAAACCGACTGGAACGTCATCAGCGAGAAGAAGCCATCGGTCAATAATCGACAGGTCAAACTGAGCCGTGGAAAGTTCCTTGGCGGCTGCTCTGGCTGCAACGGTACCCTGTGCATTCGCGGTGCTAAGCAAGACTACGACGACTGGGGAGTTGAGGGCTGGACGGGTGATGAAGTTTTCAAATACATTCGAAAGGTCAGTGACGGGCTCCCGAAAGCTTTCCACCCTCAGCAATCAGCACTCCTTGCTTCAGCTTCCAGTTTGTAGTATCATTCCAAGTCGCTAATCTTTTGCGAAATATAGGCAGAGAACTTTCACGGAAAATCTTGGTTCAAAGCCTCCAACGACCATGGTACCAACGGCCACCTCAACATCGAACCACACGACCTCGCTCCTATTTCGAACCTCATCATGGACTCGATGATATCAAAAGGACTGCCGCTGGACCATGACATGTTCTCCCACGGAAACAATCCTCATGGATGTGGACATGCGCCCAGAACAGTCCACAAGGGCTTGAGGACCACTGCCGCAGACTTCGTCACAAAGGAAAACAAGAGGGACAATCTTCACCTTCTCGTTGAGACCCATGTCGAAAAGATTCTCATTGAGAAGGTGGACGGTGAGCTAAGAGCAACAGGTGTTAAGGTCGTCAAGGCCGACGGCTCCGTTGCCGAGATCAAGGCCCGCAAGGAAGTCATTGTCAGTGGTGGCGCGTACTGCAGCCCCAACATCCTCAACCGGTCTGGTATTGGGGCCCAGGCCGAGCTCGACAGTTTTGGCATTCCGGTACTGGTCGACTTGCCCGGTGTCGGCAAGAACCTCATGGACCATCTTGTAGGTATCCCCAAACTCTGCATTTGAAGGGATCTCGCTAACATGTTCTGCCTCAAGATTGTCTTCATGTTCTACGAAACCGAAAAGGCTGGCCTGACCAATGACCACCATGTCTACCACGGCGACAATTTCGCAAAAACATACGCCCTCTGGAAGGACCAACAAGCAGGCTTCCTGTCCACATTCCCCTTTGGAGCATTTGCCTACGCCCGTCTGGACGAGCGCCTCGCCGACTCAGACCTCTGGAAGAATGCCTCCAGGCAACCTGGCCGCGACCCAATGGGCCTCACACCCAAGCAGCCAAACATTGAGTTCTTCACCACTGAGTGCTACGGCGGTCCGAAGCAGTACGATCAGTTCCCGACCGACGGCAAGTACGCCTTCAGCATGATTGCGGAGCTCTTCGGACCCCGTTCTCGCGGTACGGTTGGGCTTCGCGACACCGATGCCAAGTCTGTCCCCGTCGTGGACACGAATTACCTCTCTGATCCCTTGGATGTAGAGGTTCTGGCTGAGGCGTGCCGCTTCGGTAATGAGATCATCATGGAAGGTACAGGAACCAAGGACATTGTCAAAGGGTCTTGGCCTAGCGATTTGACGCACCACAAACACACCACTCGCGAGGACTGGATACCCTATGTCCGGGACAATGCAACGACCTGTAAGGTTTCCTGATTCGACTCATTCACAGCTTGCTAACCGTTTGTCTGTTCCGTAGGTTACCATGCTGCGGGAACCTGTGCCATGGGTAACTCGTCTGATCCCAAGGCGGTTGTCGATCCAACACTCACAGTCAAGGGCGTCAAGGGCCTTCGAGTTGCTGACTGCAGCATTATGCCCATCCTCCACGGCGGTCATACCCAGATGCCTGCTTATGGAATTGGAGAAAAGGCGGCTGACCTTATCAAGGCGGCATGGAAGCTTTGAGTTATCACTATCCTAGGCATAAGAAAGTAGCAAGCAACGTGTAGAGTTCCTGTAATTGAAGAATGTATCAAAGAGCGTCATTCGTACCCGCCAGCCTATTCCTTCTTGAACACTGGCATCCATTCCAGAGGAGCATCAATCTCGATCCATTTTCCACCCTCAAACGTGTCTGACTTCCCCTCGAGGAGTGGTTTCCATTTGCCTCCTGCTTCCAGCTCGGGGAGATAGACCTTGATGCTCCTCTGCTCCGGCTTCAGCACCGGGCACACCAAGTACTTGCTGCCAAACATGTACTGCTGACCAATTTTCCAAGTCTCCTGATCCTTCGGAAATTCGTAGAACAGCGTTCGCATCACGGGCGTACCCTTTTCGTGCGCCTCCTTCATCAGCGAGCGCGTGTAGTCACGCAGTTCCTCCCGGAGGAACATGTACTTCTTGCAAATCTCATAGACCTCAGGCCCATACGACCAAACTTCATTCGGTGCGCCACTGCGGCAAGTTGCTCCTCCTGTTGTACCATGCTGGGGCTGCTCGGGCTCGCGACACCCATGGAGGCGGAAGACGGGGCAGAAAGCACCCCACTGGAACCACCGGACAAACAGCTCGCGGAAGTTTTCGTCTCTCGGGTCTCCGCCGTGGAAGCCGCCGATATCAGTCGTCCACCATGGAAGGCCGCAAAGACCCATGTGTAAGCCAGCTGCGACCTGGTTACGTAGACTTCCCCAGGACGAAGCAATATCGCCGCTCCAAACCAGGGCACCGTACTTCTGGCTTCCTGCCCATGCGCATCGGATGAGGTTGACAATATCTTTTTGTCCTTCGGCTTCCATTCCCTCGTAGAAGGCCTTTGCATACTCGACGGGGTAGATGTTACCGATCGAGACGTTGGATCCTAGGTGGTAGCGGTACGTGTCGAAATCGTAAACTGTGTATTCGGGTTCAGCCTCATCCAGCCAGAAGACACGGATGCCCTTGTCGTAATAGTTCTTTTTGGCCTTCTTCCATACGTAGTCCCTTGCTCCGGGGTTGGTGGCGTCAAAATGCGTCGTGTCACCCTGGAAGTTCATGGCAATCCTGATGCCTCTATCAGATTGAATGAGGTAACCCTTCTCCACCATCTCATCCCAATTCTCAGACTTATGGTCAACGGTAGGCCAGATGGAAACCATCAGTTCGATCTTGAGCTCTTGTAGCTCCTTGATCATGGCATCAGGGTCGGGCCAGTACGTCGGGTCGAATTTCCACTCTCCCTGTAGCGGCCAGTGGAAGAAGTCAATGACAATGAGGTCAATAGGCAACTCGCGTTTTCTGTACTCGCGCGCAACTTCCAAGAGTTCTTCCTGCGTTTGGTATCGCAGCTTACATTGCCAAAACCCGAGACCGTACTCTGGCATCATGGGGACCTTGCCCGTGGCGTCAGCGTAAGCCTCGACGATTTCGGAAGGCGAATCGCCAGCAACGATCCAGTAGTCGAGGGCCCGAGTTGACTTGGCCTCGAAACTCATAATGTTACGGCCCAGAACCGCTCTGCCAACTGACGGGTTATTCCACAAAAGGCCGTAGCCCAGCGAGGACACGGCGAAGGGCACGCTAGCCTGGGAATTCCTGTGAGCGAGCTCGAGATCGTGGCCCTTGAGATCCAGGAATGACTGTTGGTACTGTCCCATCCCAAAGATCTTTTCCTCCGCATCGACGCTTTCGAATCTCGCAGTGAGGTGATAGTCGTTGCTGTTGACAATGGCCAAGAACTCGCGCGCCTCGACGTCGAGGGCGCTGCACTTGGGGTCCAAGACATCCCGTCGGTGGCGCGAATATTCCTCGAGCAGCAGCTCGCCCTTTGAGTTCCACATCATGAGCTTGCCACCGCTGGTTATGGACGCCTTGATCTTGCCGTTGGTGATTGTGCCAGCCTTGTCATCAATGGTGATTTTGACATCCGCTTTCTTGGGCTTGAGCAAAGCCCAGTCTTCGGAAGGCATCTCACGAGCCTTGGTAGCCCGGACTCGGAAGGAGTCTACGCCCCATGGCTCGACCCAGACTCTCTCTGCATCGTAGGTGTAGACGAGCTTCCCATCCTGCTCTTGGAGACCCATGGTGTCCTTGTTTTTGTAGACGAATCACAGCTTACAGGATGATGCTTTAGTGATCGGGAGGTATAGAAGAAAACTTTGAATAGTAATGTTCAAGCACAGGATAGGGTGGGTGAGGGGTAGCTTTCCATCTGTCGGATCCTTCTTCTTGTACATGTAGGATGCAGAGCAGGACTACGCATGACCTAAGGTAGTCAAAAGACCATCCCCGACTGCGGAGTTGCTCCTGTTGCCATGAGGCGATGGATGAAAAGCGCAGGCCACAACGGTGCCACGACCAAAGCCAGATGACATGCCGCGCCTCCAATTGACCACTCGGGTGCCGTGAAGACCGCCGTGTCCACTGCGGCCATCGGGATGCCCCGCATCTGCCGGATTGAGGGGAAGTTGGGGGTCATGTTTGGGGTCATTGATGCTACGAATGATCCGCCCCCGCGGACACGGAGGTGGATAAACAAAGTTGAAGATAGTTTTAGATGCTTATTAGGCTATTCGGGGAAGCAACAAGTGTAAACTCTAATATGGCTGAAGATCAATGTTCCACCTGGCCCTTGGGCTGGAATAATCAATGACAACAGCTGTATGCATACATAGAACATGGAGGCAGGATCGCCTGTCCATCCTTCAACGGGTATCATTCCTCAATCATTCTTCGACATCTGATCCGTGACTCTAACAGGTATCAAGCCCCTCCATTACTTATGCTTCGTAGCGAAAGACTCTCTCGTATTGACTCTGTCAATATCGTACGGGTTTCCATCGTAAGACTTTCGGCGCGTCGAGGCCAGGCTCATCGTCCGTCGTGTGTGATGCGTGCTCTGGCGGTGCATGGACGACCGATCGTCGGAAGATGATGCTTCCGAGTCGACAGTATCGCTCGCCAATGCTTCCTGTTCGCCGCTCACTTCCGGCTCCTTGTCCGAAGACGGGGTATCTTCCTCCCGCAATCGCGCCATGAAAGCCTCCGATTGTGCAGCAAACTTGCAGCGGGCTCTGATCTTCGAACCGTATTTGTAAAACAAAAACGGGAACGGAACGCAAGCAAGTGCCAGGAATGCGGGAATCGACGATGCCCAGTTCGTCCCGAGATCCTTGTACATGTACGTCGTGAACAAGGGGAACGCTGCGCCGAAGCAGCTACGGATGACGGAGTTTGCAGCGAGCACACTTGCCGCGAAGATGGTGTAGGCGTCGATGAGGTAGTTCATGACGCTCAAAAACAGCAACACCATTCCGAATCCAAACGGGACGCCAGCGGCGATGCTCACCATCCAGTGGATGTCGGAGTTGTTGGTCCAAGCAAACCAGAACAGACCGATGGGAATCGCCACGCCTCCAACCATGGCTGATGGGAGACGGGTTTCCGGGGGAGCAAATCCGCCGTTCCTCTCCTGTACTCGCTTATACCGGCCGTTCTCGGGTAGTGTGTAAATAATGGCGAAAATCATGCCCACCATGATACCAAGGAAGGCAAGTCCACCAATGCCCTGTGACCATCCTCGTTCTTGTTGATAGACGATGGGGAACGCCGCAAATAACATGTAGAGAGTTCCGTAAATGATGGCCATGTAAAGCGACAGAAGCAAAACGATGGGCTCACGGAACAGCAGAATCCACGGTCTCGACAAGGCTGTCTTGAACGACTCTGACAAGCTGATCTTGCCCTGCTCGTGTTCAATCTTGCTGACATAGACCTTGCCAGTCATCTTGGAGAGCTTCGCAGCTCGCTGCCGAAGCAGATACGGCGCGTAGGTCTCCGGTACAAGGGCTGTACCCAGAAGCCAAAGGGTCCCAGAAAACGCAGCCAAGAAACCCATGACCCAACGCCAGCCCGCCGCGGCCCCGAGAAATCCACCGATGATCGGTCCCAGAACAGGCCCTAGGAACGGCGCGGCCGCGAACAACGCCATCGCCAAGCCTCTGTCGGCGGCCGGGAACATGTCGGCGATGACACCGCCCGAGTTGGCGAGTGGAGACGAGCCAAAGGCGCCGGCGAAGAAGCGGAGGACAATGAGGGTCGTGGCCGAGTTGGCGCCGGCGCAGCCGGCGTTGAATGCCGTCAGAATGGCATACGTGCCGAAGAAGAGCGACTGGCGTCCGAAGAGTTCACTCAGCGGTGCCCATAGCAACGGCCCAATGGCAAATCCGAGAACGAAAAGGGAAACGCCTAGGGTTGCGACTTCTTGCGAGATGCCGAATTCGATTATAATTTGGCGTATACCGCCTGTGTAGGCTGACGAGAGCAGTGCTACTGCTAAAGTGGTCAACGACACCATGAATGTGATGAACCATTTCGTCGCTTTGCTAAAGAGCATTGGATTTCTAGGATCGTTGGGAATCCATTGCACCAAGAATGGGTCTGCCTCTGTACCGGAACCGGGATATCGATAGTCGGCTACTTCCTGTGTTATCCCTGCTTGGTCGGTGACTATGCGCCAGTATGGTATTTTCGTGCGAACAGGAGGCTCGCCAACATCGTTGGCTGCCTTTTCTTGCGCCATCGCGAGCTCGAAATGGTAATAGACGCGTCGAAGAAACTTGTGGGTATACACCGGGAGGGAGAGTCGAGAGAAGAGGAGCAAGAAAATTGAGCCAAGTGAGAGCGGAGGACGGATATCCCAATAGAGCAGATGCCAAGAGCAAACAGCTAGAGGGACAAGGGGGGAAATAAGCCGGAGACGAATTGTATTTGTAGGGTAGCCGGGCGGGAAGAATAGCGCACACAACCAACAGCACCGGGAATGACGAAATATACAGGATCACAGGGTCCGAAATAAAACGGCTTACGGGCGGGAATGAGAACCGAATGGTGCTGAAATCCGTTTTACCGTGCCCACCATGCGCGCCGCCCCGGGTGGCTTCGCCTGTCGGATCGATCAGTTGTCTGCATTGCATACGCATATACGGTGCACATCTTCGAGATCTAGTTTGCATCGCATCCCGTAGTTGCCGAGACGAACACCCAGGTCGCCATGTTTCTACTTTGAAGGACTTCTTTCCAGTCCAGCGCACTGGATAAAGACTCCGTACATGCGTGGCACTGCAGGCCTGGTGCGTTGAAATCGTGGTGACGACAGAGATGTTGTGCCGGTGCTGGTGGGACAGCCCGGCTCCGACTAGGCTTAACTCCGTCCTCTAGCGCGCACAGGTGTGGTCCGGCAGCGCAGTCTCCCGCCGTGCCTTCATAAAGTTATGCAGTTCCGCCCTCGAAAGACGCTTCAGGTTGTCTTTCTTTCGAATAGGTACATGTTACCACCCCTGAATCCCAGACGCTCATTCCGTTGAGGTTGTGACAGGAGCCTGGTATTATTTTGCCTCCTTCGTGTTTCGGAAGGACCCTGAAATAGATGAGGTTAGAACTTGCAGATTTACGAGAGATACACGGTTACATGCATCCAGGCGGCAGGGTAGCTTGGCGTCGACAATTTTCATCTGGTCGTCGTCTATCATTTCTAACTCTAATACCATAGGCCACAAAAGCACAATAATAAAAGGTGCGACTGTCTAGAGTTGGTGTAAGCAAGTTCATCTGAGTATTACACACAATCAGACTTGTCATTGACTTTGACGGGCATTTCTCTTTAGAGTTTTCCCCGCGGATGCTACGTATGCCATAACCCGCTGCGGCTTGCGGGGACAGCCCGGCTACCGTAGTTTTGGAACACTGGTTGAACATGAAAATCCGTCTGCGTATGTATTCAGCTATCAGAATCTTTCTTGTTTCTATTTGTTGTATTTTCCTCCTTCTCCGATCCGCATCGCGTCGGAGCAAGTTTGTAGAAGAAGGAACTTTGGAATGAGCCGTCGAGATGATTCCCATCCCAAATAGGTTGTTTTGATGCACAGAAAAACCGGTGCGACTCAGCGAGTCATGAACCGGCAATTTCATAAATGTGAATAAGACCCGCTTTTCCGGAACGGCCTCCCTCCGGCCTGTTTGCATAACTCGCGGACTGCTGTTCGGAGTCGGGACGGGGATAGGACATCCTAACGCCAGGAGTCTCGCATGAGGTGCAGTAGTGAGTCAACACTAGGCAAGGGTGTCGAATCTTTCAAAATTACAAAGGATGCGTTTCCCTAGTCGTTGGATATACCTTGATTTTCTAGTGCGTGCGACGCGCACGGCGTACGTGAGATTGCAACTTCGCTTCTAGAAACGATGTCCACCTTGCCGAGAAGTCTCAAAACATATATGTTTACGTGTAATTCGTATACTCAGGTCACATTCAGCAAAGTTTCGTCACTTTTTTTTTTTTTGAATCCACTTGCAGCTTCATTGCAACGGTTTGAGTTTCATTTTCAGGCCGACGGGAGCAGACTATCTCGAAGTATAACCTCCATCAACCATCAGCGCAGACCCAGTCACAAACGAGCTCCTGCCACCAGCCAAGTATAAAACACCATCGGCAATCTCCTTTGGGCTTCCCATCCTCTGCATCGGCACCGCGGTCGAAACTCTCTCCTCCATCGCCTTCAACACCTCAGGGTTCTTAGTCGTCATTGGCGTCTCGGTGTATCCAGGGCAAATGGCATTAATTCGCAAGCCCTGGTTCGCGTAGTCCTCGGACGCAGTGCGGGTCAGACCGATGACAGCGTGCTTCGTCGTCGTGTATGCCGTAGAGAGTGTGATGCCCACAACACCCTGGATAGAGCCAAAGTTGACAATGGACCCCTTTTGCAAAGGTCTGCCGTCAATCGTTGACAAAATTGGCTCTTGCTTCAACATAATCTGCGCCGCTGCTCTCAGGACGTAAAATGTTCCGTTAATGTTCACGTCGAGGACCCGTTGCCAGTCTTCCGTCTTGGCGAACGCGGCGCCACCCTGGTGCTTGATGGCGATGCCAGCGGCGTTAACAACGTAGTCCAGCCTGCCGAACTTGGCGGCGGCTTCGTTGACGACCTTGATGACTTCCTCCTCGTTGGCAATGTTGATGGGATATGTGAGCAACTCAATCTTGCGATCTTTCCCAAACTCGGCTTCGATTTCCTCTTTAACGGTCTTGAGTGCGTCTGCGTTGAGATCTAGTAATGCGATACCGGCGGAACCTTCTTGGGCGAAACCGCGAGCACATGCTCTGCCGATGCCAGAGGCTGCGCCTGTAACCAATGCAAAGCCGGGAACGTCCATGTTGATTCACGGGTTTAATGGAAAGTAAGTTATAAAAGATTTTGGTGTGTGTGATTGAGGAAGCTTGAGATGAACAATGTAATGCAGTTTGCTTATGATGATGCGCTCACAATACGTTGTTGGCATCCTCAATAAGTAGTCCATCATCGCGATGTTGCGCCTCTGGTGTTCCGGGTATCGGGTGTGGCTTTCCATTGACGATCAGGTAGGACTTTCCCCATTTGAATCGGGTGTGCCTCGACTCCACTTCCGGCGACTAACTCCCCCGCCCGGTGCTCGGCCTCTGCGGGGTCATCCCGAGAAGCCGCGCTGGCCGATAATCTTATGTGTCAGCTGCTCTTATCAAAGGCCTAAATGTGACACTTCTTTATGGGCCAAGATTTCGAATATTGGAGGGGTTATGGCAAGATAGAGACCTGCTTTACCCCGCGGCGATATCTAGATCAGCGTTGGGCTGCAAGCGCCCTATCGGTAAGGTAACTTGGGTCCTTGGTGTTGGTATAGAAACCCGATGTCGGATATCACGCATATCGTGTTCCGCGCGGATGTTAGTCAATGACAAACTAAACCTGACATCGCAAATCTATCAAAGACGTTCTATTTCTAGCGTAAAGTTTACGTTTGGTAGTTGATGACACGCAGGTAAGGTCACACGGCCTTCATCTTTGTTTCACCGCATTGCGGCAATGGGTTTGTTCCAGTTTACAGGTGACTAGGGGCTCTTGACCGGCGTCACCGATTGTAAAGAGTGTTCTATTTTGATTACAGTTCCACGTCTATGCCCCATGTTTCTTGAACTTCTGTCACGATTCGGCTCTACTAGAATTGGCTGAACTTTGGCTAACCTTCTCGAGTCTTTTCCATCGTCTTCCACTTTTCTTTAACTTCTTGCGGGTCAATTTGAGACTGCTTCAAGATAATGGAATCCGGGCAAAAGTGGGATGACACGGATGAGAAAATAGAGTCACGTCTTTATGATAACATCTTGTTCATTCTTTACTTGTAAGAGAAAACTCAAGTGGAAATCAACGTGAATCCAAGATTGAGATTGGAATTGCAAGTTTAAAGTCTACAGCTTAACATCTTTATTCTGCCTAGCAAGGGTAAGCCCCTTGTAACCAGACTCTTTGACCTCTCTACACCGCCTCTGGAACTCCTGCGCAGATCCGCCATATCTAACAACGCTCCTAACCTGCTTGCCCTTGATATTCGTATTAACACCCGTCATCCAACTATCCACCTCGTTGACAAGTGATCCCTTGCTGCACTCAAACACATGCTCCGTCCACGCATCCGCAGCCTCTTGTGTCGCCTCGGCATACGTGTACCCCTTATCACGGCAAAACTTCAACAAATCCACAACAACCTGTACAGCGTGCTCAATGTTTCTTGTCGCGTTGCCAAACGGCTGGTGCGGACCGAGAACCATAAACATGTTGGGCATGGAGGGCACCGTCATGCCGAGGAAGGTGTAGGGTCTGTTATCGACCCAAACGGCTCGCTCGCCCTTTGGTGTCCCGCTGGGCGCAATCAGTGGCCGTCCGTCTTTGCCTTGCCACTCAATGGCACTGAAGGAGCCCGTGATGGCATCGAAACCAGTGGCATAAATCAAAATGTCGAGTTCGTGCTCTTTGCCATCAGATGTGATGATGCGGTCAGACTTGACCTCAGAGACCGGGGCCTTCTTGAGGTCAACAAGATGCACGTTGTCTTGGTTGAAGGCCTCGAAGTAGCCGCTCTCCAACGGCACACGACGGGTACCGAATCCGTGCGTCTTGGGAATTAGAGACTCTGCCACCTCCGGGTCGTGGACTCTTTGCCTGATCTTGTCTGCGATGAATTTGGAATATAGCTCATTGGCCTGGCGATCCGTGTATGTGTCGCTGAAGAGACCCTGCCACTTGCCGAAGCCCGGCTCGTTGTACAGCTTCTCCCAAAGGGCGGTGCGCTCTTCTTCCGTAACTTCCATCGACTTGCGGGGGTCCGCCATGTGCATGAAGCCTGATGGTGTGGAGCGGCAGATGCCGAATATGTTGTCATAGTCTTTCTTAAGCTCCTCCATCTTCTCTGGCGAGATTTCGTAGTTGCGCAAGGGAACCGTCCATGTTGCCGTTCTTTGGAAAACGCTGATGGACTGGATGCTTGGCTCCTTTGACAGTGCGGTGATGGTTTGGATGCCAGTGGCCCCAGTCCCAACAACGCCAACGCGCTTACCGGCAAAGTCCCGAGCAAGGTCCAAATCTGTCGGCCACCGCGAGGTGTGGAAAGATTGGCCCTTGAAGTTTTCAATACCAGGAATAGCGGGCAGTGATGGTGTCGAAAGAAAGCCGATGCAGCTGAGGAAGAAAGTGGTGATGTACTGGTTACCGTCCTGGTCGACGAATGTCCAGTTGTGGTTGCCGTCGTCCCAGCGAGCTGACTTGACGGTTGTGTTGAACTGGATATATTTGTAGAGGTCGTTTCTCTCCGCGAAACGCTTAATATACTTGTGCGTCTCGGGCTGGGGAGAGAAGGCCTCCTTCCAGTGCCATTCCTCCAAGAGGCCCTTGTCAAAAGAGTAACTGTAGGACACGGACTCGCAATCAAACCGGCATCCGGGGTAGCGGTTCCAGAACCACGTTCCGCCGACATCTGCACCGTTGTCGAGTACCTTTACCCTGCAATCGGGCATCTGTTCTCGGATGTGGTGCAGACTGGCAAGGCCGGATAGGCCTGAGCCAATAATGAGAACATCATAGTTCTCCTTCACAGGGGTCGGAATAGAACCCATGATTGCGGAGGGGGTTTGAAGAAGTAAACTGAAATGTGTCAAGTTGGATTCTGAGGGTTGTCTGTAAGCACCGAGTGTTGATAGGGATGTTTTCTTGATGAAATTCTTCTTGAGTTCCAGCAATAAAGTCGTATTCTTCGAAGTCTGCTAGGTGTCTAAATAGCCAATAGCTCGTCTTTGAGAGAAGGCTTTTCTCTTAGCAAATGAATCCCGCTGAGAAAGTATCTGCACAACTTTCCCGTCGCATCTTCCGCAGCATTAACCGCCCAAGTTGTTCACTTCAAACATCAGCCGATCCCGCGTGGGGCTTATCTGAAGTGGCGGCCCCCGAACCGGGGATGACTTGCCAACTCTGGATTTGGGTGGTGTTGACCAAAGTTCGCCTATCGGGCCCCTCCCCCGCATCGATCGAGTCACAGGTTAGCTTCAAGGGGAACCCTTCCCTTCCCGGACCCTAGTCAGACTCTACAGCTTTCCCGAGCATCCAAGAGCATTAAGATATGAAGCTATCACTTTATCTAAGGGTCAGATGATGCAGCTGAGCACTTTCCGAGTTGCCCCCGATTGAGCATCATCGCGCACGTAGGTGCGACACCGGACAATTCTTCTTTGGCACTTCGAAAGGTCACAGCTGACCGGGGGAGCGTCACATTAGGTCTGCACGTCGAGCCTGCAATGGAATTGGCGTCTAATACGGAGTACCAAGACTCCGAACGATTCTTAGGAGAACATAGTTTATTGTAGTCAGATGAACACAGTTTCGAGCAAACACAGAGTCAATAACAACAGTCCGTTATATGGGTTGAACACAGGCATAGTTTGTCATGTTTTGATGCCTACTTCGCCTGCGATGTACAAATATCCTCAACATCCATGACTGGCGATCATTGCCATATCAGAGAAATCTTGCGCCACCACGCGTTCGAATTGCCCTGCTTCTCCTTCTCTGCCTCATCCATGACCGTCCACATCTCCGCCTCTGCTTCTACCTCCCGCAAATTGGTCGTCAAGTCAACGTCCTCGGGTGCGTACAGCCAGGGGTCGTTTTTCCCGACCGTGAGCTTGTGTCCGAAGTATGTGACCAAGAAAAGTGGAATGCCAATGTATGCAGTCAAGAAGCTGGATGCGGTGAATCTTCCGGGGTAGAAGGCCGTGAAACCATTGGCCAGGAGCAGGAAGCCAAAAGCAATCATCGAGATCCACGCTCCGTAGGGCTGGCACCAGGACTGGTAAGGGACCTTGACGCCCTGCACTTGGCAGGCCTTGCGGAAACGAAGGAAGATGAAGGCGCACAGCACCCAAGAAGTGTATCCAGCGGTGTTTGTCAGACTGACGAACCAGTTGAAGACTACGCCAGCATCTGAGGAGACACTCAGGTACGCGAGAAGGGTGAAGCAGCTCGATGCAAGAACGGCGTAGATAGGAAGACCGTAGCTGTTGCAGCGCGTGAAGATCTTTGGTGCGTTGCCGGCGACCGCAAGAGAGTACAGAGATCTACTGGCCATATAGAGGTACGAGTTTCCAGCACTCCAGGCGCTCGTGAGAATACCAGCGTTGACGACTGATGGCAAGCCATTAATTCCGGCATTTCGGATTGCAATGACCCAAGGCGAGGCGTTAGCATTACCAGCACCAGACACAAGGCCCTCGGAGTTGGAGTTGCAGATGGCTCCAATTGCCAAGGAACCGAGGAGGTAGAAAATGATGAGTCTGTAAAAGAAGCGTCGGCTGGCAATGGGCAGGTTCTTGCGAGGGTTTCGCATCTCGCCGCCCATGACAATGATAAGCTCTGGGCTGAAGTAGAACGAGAAGCCAGAAAACACCCAACCGTAGAGGAAGGCGGTAAAGCGACCACCAGAACCGGTGATGATATACTCCTTGGTCGCACCTGGGTCCACCCAGTAGTAGAAACCCAGCCGCTCTCCGCTCGGTCCCCCGCCAAGTATCAATACCACTGAGAGAAACAGGAGGCCGATGAAAAGAATGATTTTCAAACTGGCAAACCAGAATTCAGTCTCTGCGTAGACGGCAACAGGTGATAGGTTGAGTCCAACGATGATAACCAGGAGAATCGTCAGCCAGACGGCGTTGTGGACGTTATTGGGCCAATAGTTGATAATGACTGATCCGACTGTGATTTCGTAGGCGAGGATTATGCCAAAGGAATACACATAGAGCCAGCCGAGAGCGAATCCAAGAGATCGAGAAGTGTAGCGGTTGCAGTAGTACGACATGGAGCTACCCGAGATCGGGAGGAATGTGCCAACTTCCATCACCGCCGTGACTATGCCGTAAACAAGAAGGGACGTGAGGGCGTAGGCCAGGAAGAGGAAGGCCGGTCCGCCAGCGGCGAGAACCTGGCCAGAGCCTACAAAGAGGCCAGTCCCGATGCTGCCGCCGATGGCAATCATCTGGGCATGACGCGACTTGACATTTCGCTTCGTGCCGCCCTGGGCAACGAGGTGAGTCTCGCCGTAGGTATTGCTCTCGAGTCGACCGAGGTCTTGATCGTGCATTTTGCCATCGTTGGAAGTGTCTGCGTGGGTTCCCTCCTTCGAAAAGGGAGATGCCGTGTCGTTCTTAAGAGCCATTGGAGACTGATTCGACGAAATGGGGGTGAGTGAGATTGATTCAGTTATGCATTCGTGGCAACTGAAAGAGTTGTTTGGTTATTGACTTAAAGCAGTTGAGTATTTAGGAGAGTGTACCAGTGTAGAGTCTCTTTCAATTTTCAAGTCTACGCTCGTACTGAGTGAGGGCATTCCCTTGTCTTTTAAACTACATATTACGACCACGTACACCGAATCCTGCCAAGGGCCTTTGAGGTGAACCTTGTTTGGGCTGACCAGGTAGACCAGCACCGATACCACTTAGTGCCGACTCAGCTCGCTGTATGGATGCTGCGTACGGAAGATATGATAAGTCTCGGAACAGCATGGATTGAGATAAGTTCCAGTCGTCCCTGGTTCCTAGTCCATCCAGGGCATTAGGCGACTTGGCGAACATATGAGATGTTATGGTGTCGAGTCAGATAGGAAAGCTTTCCCAGCTATCAGACGCCAAAACATGTACCCCGGGTTTACTATGGGGTCACCGGGTTCATTCGCTATTCCCCCGCTCTTATCAAAGGCCCCCGCTCCAACGGATGCGCTAAAGCTGCGTTACACACTTCGTTGCGCCCTATTCGTATCTTTCCGTGGACATCCATCCCGTCATGTTGGTACACTCCTTGGCTAATATGTTGCCCTCAGCCCCTTGATATAACTTTCCGTATCCATTTGCGGAGTCCAGAGTATCAGCAGTTGATATCGCAAATGTTCGACCTGCGCCAAACCCTTCTGACGTCCTCCCATAAACCAAACAGGAAGTGGAATCCCGAGCCAACGCTGGCTCGCCCGGAATGGCCGATGCCAACAACTCCCGACTGTCTTTGCCCAAGCATGCAGACGCCCGGCGCAGTCGGTCCTTTGGCGGATGTGGAACTGTACGTAATGCCACCCATCAATGCTCGCGATCCTGTGGAATCTAGATAGATCGTAGGCTTGGTTCAAGGCGCTGACTTGCTTCAGTGTCGAAACCGCCGGATGAAGTGCGACGAGGGTCGGCCGACGTGCTCCATGTGCAAAGCCTCCAACCTCACATGCAGCGGCTATGAGAAGAACATCTTTTTCGACTTCGAGGAGATTCCGAGTGCCGGAATGGCGCGCTTTAGGAGACCCTTGTTGACAGAGTCGGAACGCGAGTCAATGAGTGACGAACTCGTCTCCAGCATTCCGCCGGCGCTGACTCTTTGGCACATTGCCCAGATCGAGGACGAGTGCGAAAGGACACCATTGTCCCAGAGTGTTCAAATCAGTCGAGGTCCTTTCGGGGCCTTCAGGGTACATCGACTCTCATTGGAATCTGCAAAAGCTGTCCCCGAATCAAGCCCAGAATCAAACAATCCCACAGTCGGCAGCCCTCCAATGGCCGCGAAAGAGATCGGCGAGGACAGTCCTGAGGGAGCAGACGAGGAGCTCATGAATTCATCAGACGGTCCCCCAACACAAGAGACGACGCCGTTGCTTGGGCCTGCCCTTGCCTGCCTGGACCACCGTCCATTAAGCCCTCTGACGGAGTGGTGGAACACGAACGAATGGTGGAACATGGGCGATCTCCCAGACGTGAGCAACTGGTGGGACACGCCCGTGGATCTAGATCGCGTACGCGATATAACCGACAATGTCTCTTTCACCGGGATTGCGCAATATCCGAGAGTACCGATGCACGTCACTTCGCAAGATGTTCAAGTTTGTATACCAAGCATGTTTGCAGACACCCAATCTCAACAGCTGGCCACGCCGGACAACTGCTCCATCGCCCCCACAATCGACTACGCTGTTCCTCACGATGCCGTGTTCCTTCTCAGACACTACTCTACAACAGTCCTCCGCGGCTTCACGCCTTTCCGCCACAGTAAAACGCCATGGCACATCCTATTCATACCTTACGTCAAAAGCTGCCTCGCAGCACTGACTCTTGGAGACGACATGGACCACGCCAGCCAGACGGCATTCTACGGTACTCTCGCCATCAGCGCCTCCAGCCTCGGCGGCATCTCCAACTCGCGCAAGTGGTCCGAACAGGCAAATAACTACAAGCAGCGTGCTCGTCACCACGTCCGGCTCATGCTGCAGACAGCCTACGATGTTCCCAAAAAGGCAAAGTACAAGTCAATACTGATTGCCTTACTGACAATGGTGCAAATCTCAAGCGTCTCTGGTAGCCGTGACCAAGTGGAGTGTTATCTCCTAGAAGCGGAAAAGTTTATACGCGTCAAGGGGCTCAACAGGAAGAAGTCTCGCAAGGTACGACTGCTGCATCACTGTTACGCGTTCGAGCGGGTCTTGCACGAGACCACGTTTCCGGGGAGCACGCAGTCTCCCCATCGTCTTCACGTGCGCAAGGTGATTGAGACCAGCAACGCTAGCGCATATAGCCTGGATAGTCTGTCGTTCCAGCTGACTAGTTGGAGCAACCTCGACCAAGAAATGCTCAAGGTCAAGGGGCGGGAGGAGGGGGAGAACGATCTCCATCTTCAGATCCCGGGTGTCTGGCTCCCGACGCTGTACCCGGAAATCTTTGGTATCCCAGAGATCTACATCTTCCTCCTGTCGCTTGTCATAAGGCTGGCTCGGTCAAAAGAAGACCCGGAGTACTCGAGTCCCGCGGCACTCAAAGAGTTCATGTTCCGCGCCAAGGCTGTCGAGAGACGTATTCATCAGCTCAGACGGCAGCCCGGATACGTGCTAGAAGACCTGCCGACCTCGGACCCGGAGCTACAGCACTGCCAGCAGTTTTTAGATAACCTCTCGCAGGCCATGCAGCTGGCCCTGACCATATTTTTCTATCGGAGGGTGTACGACGTGGAGGCGGACATGTTACAGGATAAGGTCGTCGGCGTTCGGGATTGCTTGCTGCGGTTCGAGGCTACCGAGTCCGAGATGGGGTACGGATCGGCTAGGCTGGTGTGGCCTGCGGTGATTGCGGCGAGCGAGGCGGATGACTCAGAGGTGCGGGAATCGTTTGCACAGTTTTTCAGGGATTGGGCGCGTCGGAGCGGTCTTCGTATCTTTAGCGATTCTCTCGTGGATGTAGAAAGGCGGTGGGCGGAGAAGGAATGTGTAGATAGCTGTGGCACCAACGAGGCCATCTTGGTATCTTGAAATGCATTTAACTGGCTGCCCTGCAGTTTTCGTTTTCAACTCTAGAGTGATTTAATGTGTAAGTAGGATGTAATCTTGCACCACAAGATGAAAGGTGTGCCTGGATTTGCTATTGAGCGAGCAGATAATGTTCGACTTACCACCTTTGGTGGGGTCTCCGCCACCTCTGCAAGGGGGGTAACTTTCCTCTTCTGGACGAGCTTCCTACGTGTAAGTTCTCCTCCAGATACCCCGCGCTACCTCATCAGAAACCATCTCCGCTCGGATACTTGCCTGTGAAGTTTGGCTGTCACTATGCCGCAGACTGGTATCCCTACTTTATTAGAGGCCTACTTTATTAGAGGCCTGAAGGAAGGCTACAAGTAGAGAGTAAATTCTCGCAATCGTACCCTGTCACACATTTACTTCACGCAAGTACTTAATCCTATGACATCATGTCTTCCTTCCAAGGCAAAGTTGTAAGTCATGTAGACTACCTACCTCTTCGAAAAGCATACTCATGCCATCACCGGGTAGATCGCGATCACCGGTGCCGGCTCCGGCATGGGCCTTTCAACGGCCCAGCTCCTAGCCTCCCGCGGCGCTAAGCTATCACTGGCGGATATCAACGAAGACTCTCTTAAAGAAGCAATCTCATCTCTGGAAGATAGCTCAAGCCACATGTACGAAGTTGTCGACGTAAGGAAAGGCGATGTCGTCAACACTTGGATTCAAAATACGGTCACGAAGTTTGGCAAGCTTGACGGGGCTGTCAACATGGCTGGCGTCATTACTCACGCCACACCCGTTGCAGAGCTCACAGACAAGGATTGGGATTTCGTCTTTGAAGTCAATGCTAAAGGTGTCTTCAACTGTCTGCGGTCACAATTAGGAGCCATGTCTGCTGGAGGCAGCATAGTAAGTTCCTTCTCTACTTCCGACTTCTAGACCGGCTGATCGGCCGTTCCTCTGGCTAGGCGTAATTTCAGAAGCTAACATGAAGTTTCTTATCGCAGGTATCTGCGGCTAGTGTTTTCGGCCAGTTTGGAGCTCCTGGCAACGCTGCATACTGTGCCAGCAAGGCAGCTGTCATTGGTTTGTCAAGAACAGCAGCCAAAGAAAACCAAAACATTCGTGTGAATTGCGTGTCACCTGGTAAGTCCTATCTGTTCTGTCGCTTTTTCTCCCTGTGGTATCATCTGCCTCATTGCGTGTAAATTGGGAAGTGATACATACCTAAGCTAATAACACTCCACAGGCTCTGTCAACACGCCGTTGTCTCGTGGAGAAAATCCAGAAGACGTGAAGCGCGGTCTACAAGTAACCGCGCAGAAGAGAAGAGCAGAGCCCATCGAGATTGCTCGCGTCATCGCGTTTCTTCTCAGTGATGAGGCTTCTTTCGTCACAGGAGCTGTGTACAATGTTGATGGCGGTTGGGTATGTTGAGCACCGTACTGTTGAAGAATGGTGCCTGTCTTTGGTTTTACGTCTGAAGGAGACTTGTGAATTTTCATCAACAGATCTCTAGACTTGATTCAAAAGACAAATCCCGATCATACAACGCTTGAGATGAATGTATAAGACAACTGGCATAATTGAAAACACGCGTGCCTCAATGTCTATATCTGAAAACTTTTGACTTGACAGACTGACGATAATTACCGCCGCATAACGAGCTACTCTTATTATAGCGGATGGTTGCTTGTATTGTTATTGCCATAGACTGAATTTGGTCAAAGGTCGATGTTGGAAGACGAAATTTCGGCTGGTGATATGGCTGGGATATTGATGTTTCGATCAAGTATGCCTCAAGGAAGGATTGAGAATCTTCATACAAGCTGCAATTTGGCACATGAGAAATCGGGAATGGCGATCCTTTTCCATGGTGCCGTTGTTGATGTTCGATGTTGACCTTGGACTGAGGTCTAGTGCCTGGTGGATGTTATTCAGCCCAAACATAACAAGACGAAAGTGCGGCTGAGAAGAAGTCCAATTTTCGAGCGGACTCTAAGGCCTCTTGAACGGGTCATCGAAGGTAATGGAGGCGCATGTCTTGAAAACGCTCGATTACAACATATTCTTGGTGGGGTTAACTTGTCAAGATAACACCTGAAACTGGGACCATCGAACTCTCGCAAGAATGAATCGTATTCTCACCTAAGAGTTCTCCAGAGAAATGAACAAGTGAAGACAATAAACGGTCACAACAGATTGAAGGGGGGAAACCGATCCACCTCGCATGAAATCGCTACTGTTGGACCTCGGTCAGACCAAGCACCGTTGTCCAGACCATTCCAGTGCCAACAACGGCAATGGTCTAGCTTCCCAATCTCCCATCAGTGCGGATACTAAAGTTTCAGGTACTGACGAGACCCTTTTGAAAATACCACAAATCCCGTTGATGCGCCAACTCGACCCGCATACGGATCGCTCAAAGCGGCTGACTCTGAACTCATAGACTGATATTGACAGACATGACTGCATGCTCGGCTGGCTCCGCTGTCAAGCCCGAACCCTTGGCATCACGTTTTGCCCGATGGGCCGCAGAAAAGAAAAAACAAGGGTTGAGACAAAACTCGCAACTTTTACACAATAGGGGATAGCTCTAGTTCATCTGGTCATCCATTAATCCACTCGACTCACATTGCAGAAACCTGGCGTGCGCCTCCCTCCTCCACCCCCAGACAACCCACCTGTCGTGCTTACATACCCCCAAGTACCGGCCGGTTCGCGCATGCAGGCTGCACGACTCCAACGGTCACTCAGCTTGGCTGTCTCTCTTGGCTCTCGACGGGAAAACCAATTAGATCCAACGTCTGACTTGAGTTGTCGAATTTGCGAGTCTGACTACGCTGCACTCAATCTGGCTCCCTATGTATGTGTCGCCGGAAACGACCTAGTCCGACTTCTCAGAGCCGAGGCATCCAACGTTGTCACCAAGTGAGGCATTGCGGGGTGCTGCGGGGCGGACTTCAAGGTTGCAGCTCTCTGCCGGCTTAGGTCAGTGTGTCTTGTTACTCTCGGGCTTGGATCGTGCATTAATTACCAAGAGACCGTTTTAGAGAGAGTGGAGTATATTTTGCGACTTATTGGTTAAAGTGGTAACCTCCTATTCATCGAATCTCCAATGTGGCCTCGGACTATACCAAGCGCGGAAAGTCTTGGTAAAGGGGCATCGCCGTTTCCTGTTGGACGAGACACATAGTCGAGTTGTGCTCACCAACACCAACAGAGACTTCCATAGGACGATTGGGGGGGTATATTCGGGGGGCATCGTAAGCGGGCATATCCCCCCCTCCCCTCATTCCAACATCACCTCTATGGTCTCTCTGGAAGTCGTCCAAGTCTTGTCCCGAGGTCTCTCGCAATCTGCTGCAACCAAACAGACTCGCGGAGGTTCCTCCGAGCCATTCCCAATTCGATGTCCTGTCGCGAAATGGCAGCTCAGCCAGCTCTCACGTGGCATCGCTGTTCCTTGGAATTTTTGAAAGCATCTAGCTTCACCGACTACTGAACTCCCCGATGTATGATGTTGTGGGATGGCTTCGAGATTCAAGATGCGACTGGCGGATGAATCCAACGGCCGTCTCCACGATGTGATCATTCATCGAGCCCGGTTGGATCGCGCCTACGTCTGGACGTACCTCACGAACGAAACCGGCGAGGCGTGCGAGTTGCAAGACAAGGGTTGGGTACATCCTCTAGGCATCGAAGAAGTTCAAGTTGTAGATGGTCCACGAAAGAACAGCAACCTCGAAAACAAGATAAATAGTCGAGTAAGATCCCACCGGTTGGCTCTTGATATCTTCGTTTCATCAGACTCAAGCTCTCGCTCAGAACCTGAATCCTCTCTCTCTCTCTCTCCTTCGCTTAAAGCCTAGCCAGCCCGCTCTCACTTGAAGACCGTTCCCAACTTCCGGACTCGAAAACTCGTTTCCCAAAAAACAAACCAGTCAAAATGAAGTTCTTCAGCATCCTCTCCCTGGCCGTTACCCTCGCCGCCGCGGCCCCAGTCGAAGTCGTCGACACCGGCGTCGCTGACCTCCAGGTCCGTCAGACGGGAGCGACCAGCAACGAGCTCGAGTCCGGCAGCAGCTCCGCCTGCCCCAAGGTCATCTTCATCTTTGCCCGCGCTTCCACCGAGCCCGGCAACATGGTAAGCCATCCCGACATCTCATATGCGAGACCTGTAAAAGGCCACCCCTGAAAGCTAACCTCGATCGAAAAATAGGGAATCAGTGCTGGCCCTATCGTCGGTAATGCCCTCAAGAGCCGCTATGGCTCAAGCCAAGTCTGGGTTCAGGGCGTTGGCGGGCCGTACAGCGCCGACCTGGCTTCCAACTTCCTCCCCGAGGGAACCAGCACCGTCGCCATCAACGAGGCCAAGAGGCTCTTCACCTTGGCGAACACCAAGTGCCCCAACTCCGCCGTAGTCGCTGGCGGATACAGGTGAGTCAGACCTTAGAGACGTCCTTCCCCCTTTTCCCTTTGCCCCTTGCTGATGTGGTACGACGAACAGCCAGGGAACCGCCGTCATGGCATCGTCCATCTCCACTCTGAGCTCGACGATCCAGAACCAGATCAAGGGCGTTGTCTTGTTCGGCTACACCAAGAACCTCCAGAACCTCGGCCGCATTCCCAACTTCCCCTCGTCCAAGCTATCTGTCTACTGCGATGTTGCGGATGCGGTCTGCTACGGTAAGCAAGTCTTGTTCTCATCCGCGAAAAACATCAGAGGAACCACTAACACCCTCTAGGCACGCTCTTCATCCTGCCCGCACACTTCCTCTACCAGACTGACGCGGCCGTTGCCGCCCCTGTGTTCTTGGCTGCTCGCATCGGTTAAGAAGATCAAGCACGCAATCAGATCCGGATCGACTATGATTCGGACGCACCTGGGTGAAATCGAGGGGGGTTGAGAGGGAAAATCGCCAACGCATCAATTCCTGTGAGCCATCGGGCTCGCTTGCTGAAGACGGAGCTTGAAGCGCGGCAACAGAATGGAATATCAAGGGCTTGGGTTGGATTGCTGGAGCATGATACTCGCTCATTTGTTGTCGCTCATTTTGTTTTCTTTCTTGACTTTCTTGCCACTCATTTAGCTTAGCTACCTCATGCTTCATAAATGCTCTTACGATCTGGACGAAATGCAAAGGATATTCTTATTGTTGCTAAGTGGGTATCATTGAATCATTATTTCAAAACAAATGCTATGCGAGAGATGTTGCGCCAAGATTCATTCTTTCGCCCTGCCCCGAAGAAATGCCGCGTGACGTTGAGAGTGATATTTGACGTCTGCCGGGTGCAGCGGGTTGTACACTATCCGGCACGTCTTACACTCCATGAAAGTAGGTTTCGAAGATAGGTTGATGGTCGTCTGGACAGTCGGAACAGGCTTTGGTCGGGAGGAAGGTTTCTTCAACTTGACCTGGGATTCAATCTTCGCGAGGTCGACGAGCGCGTTAGGTTTGTTCTCGTCGACATCTTGCAGCTCTGTAGCACCCCGTGCTCTTGTCCTGCGAGTATTTTGTGCTTTCCGTTCAACGATGACACTGCCCCTTTCGTTCTCGTCCTTTTCGCCCTCCGAAGGGTCCGATGTATGTGACAGTGGCGTGCTGTGTCGTAGCTTCAGGCGGCGGGGCTCCTTGATCTTTCTCAAGACGGGAGGTGATGAGGGTGGGGTATTGACCAGCTTTTCCGAGTCGGACAAGGGGTCGGAGGCTTCCGTGGCCGAGCTTGACCGGCAGGGCTTGAAGTAACTCAGGATTGAGCTCTTGGGTATGCTGCTTGATGGCGGCGCAGATTGAGCGGGAGGCAGCCGTGGAAGGTCTGGCGTCCGCGTTGGTGGTTCGGCTTCGGCTTTGCGCTTCTTGAACAGGAGAGAACCGATTTCGTCGTCAGCTGCGCGCGTACGCTTGCTGTAGGTTCTGAGGGTACGTCTACAAGGCGTCAATTTGGGTTCACATCGACACATGCAGCAGGTTCCGTACCTTTTGTCGGCTGTTGTTCTTGAGGAATCTGGTGCACAGCGCGGGCTGTGTTGCTTAGTGGTTAGCGACATTGATAAATGTGTAGAGTTCATGCGAGCGCGAACCTCGTATCTGAGATTTGGTCCATGCCTCCGGGCAAGAGAGCAGAAGTTGTCGTCTAACGAAAAGATGTGCCGGGATTCAGGCGCATGCAGGTGTGTGATGGTACGCGACGCGCGCGCTCAGAGTTTCGTGTGGCAGAAATCTTTGGCGTGATGATAGAAGCCGATTACAGTCGTGACGAAGAGAATTCGCTGGAGACAGACCTGAGGACCAGAAACAATTAAGAATTATAGTGTCCGGAAAAGAGGTACACGAGGCCGAGGCTGAAGGAAGACGCAGAGGCAGTGGTTGGCTCCCAGGCCGGGGAAGCATCTAGGTCCTGTGGGCCCCCCACCCAAAGCGCGTCGCGCGAATTGACGTGCAGCAACGCGTCCACTCGCGCACTCTAAAACTGTCCCCACGCCGTCACGTGTTAGAGGTACTCCATTTGACGAAGCCTCTCAATACCGGACGACTTTTGCCGTGTAGTTACAAATGCCGGTTTGCAACGGTTTTTGGCCTTGCACAGGGATGTCGCAAGGATTAAAACTGCAGCGCTTTCCCGGCGAGTGCGAACATCGCAAACAATACTGCCAAGGATCGTTCCATTGCGTGGATCTCACTGCCTACGAAAGCCCTTTTAGTCTCCGCCGTATGCCTTCGTCGGTATCTTGCGATTTTGTATCGAGAAGGGTAGTCGTCTCTCCGGCTGGATCGACCTTACTCTCCTTACCCAGTACCCACGACTGCATCACCTCTCTGATTTCTTCCGGTTCTTTGGTTTTGGACTTGGCCTCCCCTATTCTCCAAACATAGCCGGAGTACACGGCGACCTCGGCTATCAAGACGACAATAGCGCCCCCAAGCGTCAGGAATATCCGGGCAGTCACATTCCACCATCGGGCCGCTATCCAGATGGTGGCTGCGACACCAATGATGCTTATGAGGAAGTTGAGAATAACCATCATCTGCTTCTGCACGTCCCCGAGCGTCACTTCGTCATCGCCATTATCTGCTTCGTTCATGGGGCGGTTTACTTCGGCGAAGGCGTGTGCTCGGGCAGCGGCGCTGGGAAATTGCTGAGAAAAGGCTTCCATCCGGGACGGTTGCTTCAACATGCGCTGGTACGATCTTTCCTCTTCATCGCGTCGCAGGCGGGCCATGAGAGCTTTGTACTCGGCAGACTGTGAAGTTATTGTCAGCGACTCGGGGCAGAGTAACAGTTTGCTGTCTTGACGTACTGGTTCAGGCTTTGGAGGTGGCGGGGGTATGTACACCCTGGCACCTCGCAGCAGTCCCTCCAAATCGAAGCCCTCGATACCTTCCGTCTTCAGATTCTTCCATAGATCTAATATATGGCCGTGCGTGATTGGGTCTCCGACCACAGCATCGCTAGGGGTTGGCTCTTCGGTTCTGGCTGTCGCTGCGGCCTCCTCGGCAGTATCTGACGTAGGTGCCTGCTCAGTGTCCTCCGGTTTCGCCGCGATTCCCCGTCCGAGTCTGACTTCATCCAGCCTCTGCTGACCTTCTGCGATGGCGGGTGTTATTGTCATTCGTACCATGACTGCTAATGTGATCGTGTGGCCTTTCGTGTGGCCTTCACGATGTCATTCCGGAATGATGCGACTTGGCGATGGAGACATGCAGCGTCAAATATGTCAGACACGGTCAAATCGGGGTAATTATTCAGGCGTCGGGTCGTGCCTGCCACGATGCAACGACCGAGGCAGCTTAGCTCCTGCTCCAATGTAAGCTCAAGTTCTCAGGCAGTGAACCAATCAAAAGACCGGAGTACCCCCCACTTTTCTCCAAAGATACGTATCCCCGAGGTCCGCCTCTCCCTGCCTTAGGTAAGGAGAGCACAGGATCCGTACCACGGTACCACCAAGGGAAAGATCGGATCTGCTGCGTAGGTAGCTGCTGTGGCTTGAATTTCTCGCCGCGGGAGGGAAGGAGAAAAAAAAAAGTCATCGGCTTTGTACCATCTACCCGCCTTGAGCTGCCAATTGCCACAACCACGAGTCTCAAGCGAGGTCTACTTACTTTAGATGCTGTTGGACCACTTGGCGATTCTTTTGACACTCTTTTGATTCTCTCCAGACCACTATAGGAGCCATGCAGCTCCGCACGGGAGCAGCAGTGCTGCGCAGCACTTCGATAACGTCACGATCTCTCCTCTCCTCCTCTTCCTCCCGATGTTCGCAATGTCGACGAATTGCTCCCCTCGATGCTCGGATACCTCTCACCACTGCCCTATACCACTCTTCCTCAAGAAGGTCTTCAGCATGGGGCGCTGCTGTATCTGTTGCGTCCAACATGGCTGCGAATGCCGTCAACCGCGTGATCCCCAAGGGTGACATGCACATCGACCCTCTGCGAACAGTGGCCAAGGAGATGAAGTTCTTGACGGGCAACATCCGGAAGCTCCTTGGTTCCGGCCATCCTTCTCTGGATCGCGTCGCCAAGTACTACACACAAGCAGAGGGCAAGCATATGCGTCCTCTTATTGTCCTGCTCATGTCGAGAGCCACCGCCCTCTGCCCCAAAGGACCCCGGCTCCAGTCTGCTCAAGCCATTGGTAGCGTTGATACGGCGATATCTCCCCCGAATATCCTCGTCGATGTCAACCCGAGTTCGCCCTTGACAAGCGCCGCTCCCGAGCCTGCCGAGACCGAGTCTGACATCCTTCCGTCCCAACGCCGCCTTGCCGAGATCACCGAGCTGATCCATACGGCATCCTTGCTTCACGACGATGTCATCGACCACTCTGTCGCACGACGCGGATCTCCCTCGGCGAACCTCGAATTCGGCAACAAGATGGCTGTCTTGGCCGGCGATTTCCTGCTAGGCCGCGCATCCGTCGCACTGGCCCGTTTGAGGAACGCCGAAGTCGTTGAGCTTCTTGCCACGGTCATTGCCAACCTTGTCGAGGGCGAGTTCATGCAGCTCAAGAACACTGAGCAGGATGAGCGCAAGCCGGTGTGGTCAGAGGAGGCGCTCACTTACTACCTCCAAAAGACCTACTTGAAGACTGCTAGCTTGATTTCAAAGTCATGCCGTGCTTCGGCGATCCTCGGCGGATCAGACGCCACTTCGGTCGAGGCAGCATATGCCTACGGTAAGAACCTAGGACTCGCCTTCCAGCTGGTCGACGACATGCTCGACTATACACGGAGCGAGAAGGAGCTGGGTAAGCCGGCCGGCGCCGACCTTGAACTTGGCCTCGCGACGGCCCCTCTACTATTTGCGTGGAAGACGAATTCGGAATTGGGTGCCTTGGTAGGCAGAAAGTTCGAGCAGGAGGGTGACGTCGCTAGGGTAAGGATGCGCGCGGGCAGCAACAGACTCTATGGATTTGGAGAACATTATGACTAACACGGCTTCAGGCACGCGAGCTGGTCCTCCAGAGCGACGGTATTGAGCAGACGAGGGCACTGGCCCAGGATTACTCCGAACGGGCCATCGCAGCCATCAGCGATTTCCCCGAGAGCGAGGCCAAGGATGGCCTCATCGAAATGGCCATGAAGGCATTGAAAAGGACAAAATAAGCGATTGACGGCGTTGGCCGATCAGAACCCTGTACAAAAACCCAAAATCCAGAGTGCACGCATTGTGGTAATGTGCGCTCGACACCACTGTACAACAGACCTTCAGGGCTCGTGACAGAGTACATGTAACGATATTATACAACTAGACGGCGCGGCGTGAGGCCATGGGGGGAATATCATCGGGTTAGAGATGGCACAGGACTTGAGTGCAATACCACATACAACTTCCCTTTTTCATACGCGAATGGAACTCGGCACGCGTGTGTGAGGGATGATCAGCTGAAGGGGAAGATGATTATCCCGTGCAGGAAAACCTGCTGTAGAAAGCGCCAATGCCTTGCACATGATTGGGGAGATGGGAAACTTTTACTCGATCAGAACTCGGTGAGGTCCCAGACGGCAGTCGTGATGGCAGGGTTCAGACGGGAGACAGCGGCGAGCTCCGTGGAGAAGTGGTTTCCATTACGTTTGTTGGATGGCTTCCAGATGCAGCATGGCAGAAGACAGCAGTGTGATTTAACTGCATGGATCCGTCAGGGACCTGCAAAGCTTACACGATACGTAGTCGAGGCCCGATCCGATTCTCGCGGAACCTTGACACAGCCTGCCAGTTCTGGAAAGGCAGTGGCCGAGAGCAATTGGGTGTTTCGTCTAGACTTCCATCTGGAGGACAAAAGTGAAAATTACAAACACGTCAAGCACGGTTCAAACAAACTATCTGTAGCTGCAGTAAGAGCCGCTGGAAGTTCCGGAAACGAAGCAAGGTCGCAGGGATGGTTTTTCGGAGGTTGATAAACGGATGAATGGCTGTGATCGGAAGAAAGGGAGCCGGCTGTCGGGGCCGCGATCGCTCGTCCTAACAAATGAGACATTCCTCGGCTGGAGATGACTCGGTCTTCCAAGACTCCACGGGGAGGCGGCGGCTGTGTCACGACGGCGCCGGGTGAGTGGGTCTTTTTCTCTTTCTTGTTCTATTCGTTGTCCATTATCGATAGTGGGTGTATGGTGGCTGACAATGAGGTAAAAGACACAAAGCCAGCTCGATTACCGCCTGTATCGCGAAACGATCGAGTAATACCAACTTCTGGCCAATGCGGATGAAGAAGATGGTTAGTAAACTCGGAGCACCGAATTCAGTTTGGTATTAATACGCGCCATGAACGGGAAAAATTCTTCAACGAGAAGGAAATCAAGAAAACTAGAGTTCCCGGGACTCGCGAGGCGCATGACACTTGGCGGGCCAGATGCCCCAAAGAAGCGGTGTTTTACTCGATCATTACTCGATCGAAACTCCCAAGTGAAGCTTAGACGACGCCTCGGTGCAGCAGCGGCAGTGGAGCACCAAAGTAATAAGCACACCAAGGCAGGGGTCCAGACTCAGAAGGTGAGAGGGCGACTGTCATACGTAGTAGACTCTGAGGGCAACCTGGGCCAGAGTTAAAAAGAAAAGCCTCCGATTTTTCCGAGAATGACCGATGAAGAGTCAAGACGGTGATGGGCTTTGTTGTGGTGGATTGTCAGTGTCAAAGACTTATTTTACGGGTAGAGGCATTTTAAGCACATGCTTTTCTCCCATTCGCTCAATCTGGAATGACTAAGGCGGTCTAGATCGGGAAACGGCTGTGTCCGACGAACACGCCAACCAATCAGCGTCGGCTGATAACGACAAGGAAGGACTTTCAGTCTTTCAGGGTTCCCCGGGGTGCGTTGAGATTGTCGATAGGGTCCCTCAGAATGAAGGGTTCCGATAACGCACCCCACACAACGGACACGAACCCCAGTTGCAGGAAGCAGAGGCCGACGGCACGGTCGTCAGTGGTCACTATTGGAGCGTAGCCCTGGGCGGGCTTTGGTCGAGTTGAAGAAGGTCAATGACGGGGGCAGAGGACCCCGGACAGGGCCCGAAGGAGAAGGAGAAGGCGGTGGGAGAAGACGGGAGGGCTGAGCTTGCTCTGAATGGAAGACTGATGGTCTTTTCCTCGTTGGGATTGGCCCAGTGGCTGGTTCCCCTTGGATTCCCCGTGCTCCCCCTTTGTCAGATGTCTTCCTGTCACCTCAGAGAACGTTATCTTATCGGAGAGAAGAACTGGAAATGGAAGCCCAGAAGAACGAATGGAAGGGAATTGGCTGGCTCGGGGGCCCGTCCTAATCACGTCTGGACTTCGGGGTGGGCCGTGGATCGAGCCACGAACGGCTTTCCTCTGAGTGAGATTCGGACGGGAACCTCTTCTTCTTTCTCCCCTTTCCTCTCTCTTCTCCTTTCTCTTCTCTATTCAACTTCTGTCCTGACTATCACCACTTTGCCTTTCTCGGGACTCATAGTAATTCAAACTACCACACAAATCTACTCGCTTTTGCTTGAGTGATTAGTTGGTCTTTACAAAAGTCTGTCTAACCAACATCTTACACACCTTGAACCCTTGAAGCCACACCGGCCATATCTTATCTCTCTCATCACCCCGCCACCCCGCGATCAAGATAAGCTTCGCTGTTCTCCAGTCCCAACAGCAAGCTATCCAAGAACGTCCACCGCGGGGAGAGCTCTTCAGATACCGCGGTATTTCCCTTATCGGACCTACGCAAGCTTCCAAGATAAGCTTATCACAAACGCAACCCTCCATCACCCTCTTCTCTCTTCACCATGACGGCCTCTCAAGAAACCACCACCACCACGTCACTCGTGGTCCTCGTCTCAACGCGGGCGGTCCTCACCTTTGAACAAGACAACCTTGTCCTCACACCCGCAACGATAACAGTCTCGCCCACCACCGGCAAGATCGTCAACATCATCCCGGCAGTCCTGCCAAAGACCTCCTTCCCAGCCTCCACCGAGTACATCAACTACGGCTCAAAGCTCCTGTTGCCAGGTCTCGTAGACGCCCATGTTCACCTCAACGAGCCCGGCCGCACGGAATGGGAGGGGTTCTGGACCGGCACGCGGGCCGCTGCCTCTGGCGGTGTGACGACCGTTGTGGACATGCCTCTCAATGCTATTCCGCCCACCACGACGGTGGCTGGGTTCAAGGAGAAGCTTGCTGCGAGTAAAGGACAGTGCTGGGTCGACGTCGGCTTCTACGGTGGTGTGATTCCCGGAAACGCTGATGATCTGTTGCCCCTCGTTGAGGCTGGTGTCAGAGGCTTCAAGGGGTTCCTGATCGAGTCGGGAGTGAGTAGTCTTCCGCGCCGTGTTTCGGTGCTTTCAGAGTGTAAGCTAACATCGATCCTCACCAGGTCGATGAGTTCCCGGCAGTCTCATCGCAAGACGTGGCCCTCGCCATGGAGAAGCTCAACGGCACACCTACGACGCTCATGTTCCACGCCG